ATAGGTTTTTGAATCGATACACGTATTCACTGTACTTACATAATACAATATAATATTATTGTGTTATACCCGGCCGAAAATCGAATTATCAATTACCATCGTTCGAATTCAGGACCAGTATTATATTATACTCGCGAATAGATATATTAAAATAATATTGTTGTTAGCCGGAGGTCGATAATACATAGAAATATAGAATACAATAACTTGTATGCAGAGAACTCGGATTTAAGTTTCTAAAAATACTTCTTATTATAATATATTATACATCGTGAATTTTATCAGCGTCGATTTTGGAATGTTGAAAATGATCGTTGAAAATTTAGGCCACACCCTTCCCCTTTTCACCTGGTTAGGTCCGGTAGTTAAAATGAATTTATGTCCCTTCATTGAAATAATAGGTATAATTTTGGACTTCACCCCCCCCCCCGAATTATATTTTTTTAGGCAACCTTGATAATAGTTTATTGTTTAAATATAAGATTAAATATATAAAACGATATTTGCATCATGCATACATATTTATATTAATTTATATTTGTTTGCAGTAGTAAACTTGATTGAGATGGAATGTACGTGATGAACACGTGGTTGGATTATCTTTAACTCGATATTCATTGATACAGCTAGAATAATTCAACCTGGTAAAGTAAATGACATGTTTGCAGGCATTAGGATTTTTATTCTATAGATAATTAATTATTTTAGTATATTTATAATCATATAAAAAAAAAAATAACTATAAATAACTAGAATTTCGAAAATTGTATCAAGTATAGGAAGTACTTATTTTCGGTGAAAATTTCTGTTATCCACATTTATCTTCCACTAAAAAAAAATATTTAAAGTTAACATAAATTGTTTTTGTGTGATAAAGTTATAAAGTGAGATATTCAACAAACCCTGCCATCCCTTTCCCCAAAAAAAAGTTTCGCACGTACGCCACTATTATAGGTAAACTGAGTTCCAAATAGCATAGGTATTTTTGTTTAAATTTTCCTAAGCAACCAATTGAGTACCGATATAGTGCTCCTGTGTAGTGTTGTAATTTATGAGATAACGTCATTATATTATTATTCTTTTGAATCATGTTATATTATAGAATAAATCTCAGAATTCAAATTTTACTCCAATTTGGTTTATTTGCTTTTTCAGTTTTTTGCAATGCCTAGGACATTGTCTCGATCAAAGAAAAAAAATCGACTTAAATAAAAGTATAGTTATAATATATTATCGTGATCAATTTAATTTAATATTTTGCAATGGTTCAGCATTGCATTCACTATATAAAAAAAGGTTTTTTGAAAATATAATAATACCCCCTTTTAAAACTAATGGATCTCTCTTTCTCTTTCTCGCTCTCTTTTTCCGAACACTCAAGGCTCAATTTCGAACCTAATAAAATAGACACACCACGCCTATACCTACATACCTATATTTACATACTCAAGACGTTTATATCTGCAGCAGCACTCTTAATGAATAAATTATATCCACCAACTTCTAACTCTAAAATATTTCCATATACCCAGGCGAAGGTGTCCCGGTTAAAGTTCTCTCCGGGGTAAACCTCCAAAGACAATCAAAATCGTGTTTAATAATATTGTTATAATATAATAATAATAATATAACGATAACATTATACATACCTTATATATATATATATATTATCTGCGATTGTAAAGTGCGAACCGGAGAAACGCTCGACACACCGAGTATCGCGCGTATACCGTTGGGGATAATATTTAAACGGTAAAAGCTTATTCCCTCTCTCCATTGATACATTTTAGAGAAATTACATGATGGCTCTAAATTTCGTAAATTTATATACCATTTGACAATTAAAATTTGATAACCATCATAAACGATAGTTTATCAATTTATCTATAATCGTGATTATTTTTGTTATTGATTTGGTACTGATCAACGCACGGTCTCACGATAATCAACTCTTGTTTTCTTTTGAAATTTCAAAAGTTTTGTACTTGTTCGTTTTTTTTTTTTTTACAAAAAAAAACTCTATAATGTCTAAAATAAAAAAAGTTACACAAAGATGATTTCTACCGCATCCACGTAAACGTCTGGTAGTAGTGATACTGTGATACTAGACACAGTAAAAATATCTCATAATGACAACAATATTGTACAATTATTTCTTTAAGATAAGATTATTTAAATTTATAGATATACCTGTTATTTTTATAATAGTATACAAATATTCTATATACATTTCAAGACCAAGTAAAAACTATCGATCCTTGTATCACTGACATTAAATTAGAAAATATTAGATTTTGTATTATAAATGTTGTAATATATTCTGATCAAAAATAAGTAATTATTAACATCAAAACGGTTTTTTTTTTTATTGTTATGCATTATGATTAAGTCAATTCCTATTTTAGAGTAATGCTGAGAAATATAGCAGAGTCCCCAATGTAAATGTGTTTAGAAAATTATCAGGAAACCTTCCATAAAAAATTCCCTAATACGACACTGTCTACCCAAAAGTGAAATACTCTTCAACAGGTCGACGGAAATTTAAAATATATTTAGATTCCTTCTATTTCCATGTCAAATTGTGTGTATATAATATATAAAACTATTTGAAAATCAAAAAACAGTATTGATTTAACCCCTAAAAATAAGGGCTAGTATCAGCCTGTGCATGCATAATAAACTTATCGAAAATTGATCACCTTATATTCTAAATATATCTAATACGAAATTTAATTTTAAACTTCGTCGACAAACTCGTATATTTAACATACAATTTGGAGAGTATGACAAAATAACACACATTTGTAAAATTATATTTATTGGCCAATCGGAAATAGGAAAAAACATAATAATACCATCCTCTGGTTATGTATTTTTTTTTTTTAATATACATATTTTATGTTTTTGTCAGTCGTGACAAGATATTTACAAGATATTCACCTGTGTTCATATAATCTTTAGAAATATGACGGTAATCATAAAAAAATACAATACTCGAACAATATCTAATTTACCTGAAAACTATGATTTAAAATGATTTTCTTCATTTGTTATTTATTTGTTTTCCCCTTAGAAAATACGCAGCAACAATAAAAGACGTTCGGACGATGTTATGGATCAAAGTTTTGTTTCGGATGAAATTCAAAATGGTAAGAGTTTATGAAATTATATACCTAGCTACTTTTTATCTATTACCTTATATCTATTAACATAATGGTAAAAAAGCCAGACAGCTCACCGTGAACTAAAGCCACTGTAGTATATGGACGTTTGAAATATTTAGGATATAAAGTGATCCAATTTATGCACCGAAATCAACCTTAAATCAAAGCAATCAAAAAATAATTGAGAGCAGTATTATTTATACTTCGATTTATCGATATTTGTCGTCAGCTTTTTAAATTTTGTAGAAGAAAAAGTTGTGAATCGCGTCTTTTAAGGTACGGTGCAAATAATTGTAATAATTTTCACTGACTAAGAGTTTTCCGAGAAAAAACACATCCTTGTAAGAGAGTGAACTGTCAAAAGTTTCAACAAATTGTCTTAAGTCAAGTACTTGAAAGTATTCGGAAATTCTGAATCTGCGTGAAAAATCTGACCATTTCGCTGATTTTATTAGTATTGGTTTATTTTAACAAACATATTCTATGTAATAATAATATAATATATATTATTGGGAATTTTGCAGTAAAATGTATAGAACGATAATTATCGTACACTGTGATATTGAATTCACAACACGAATCCATTTTATGGGTACTGTATGAACAATATAATTACCATTAAACATAACAGTTTAACTGTTGTTGATTTTAGAAATATAAAATAGTATTTTTATTTTCCACTAATTTTTTTTAATTTCAATTAACAAAGACGGACATACTTCGCACGTTATTGTAGGTGAGAATTTGCCAAAGTAGGACATAGAGGGGAATTTAATGTTTACCTGTAGCAAAGATAAGTCTTGGCTTACAAAAAAAAAATGATTCTAAGTAGGGTTCAATTATACAAGTTTTAAAAGGACGTAATATTTACAATTTTGACAAAATTTGGTATGAAAATTTGTATAAAAAAAAAAAAAACACTACATTAGATTCATGTTTTTTTCTTATTGAACACTAATTATAACTTATAATGAACCTCCTGTTAAATTTCCAAGCACTTTTATTCGGTCTAACAATTTATCCACCGAGTACCTACCACATAAAAATTACATAAAGAACTAACAGAATTAAAATGTCTATAAATAGCTCAAAAATGGCTCAAATGTTACCACATCTAGAAAAGGTAAATATAAGTTTTCTATCAAAATATTAAGTCTCTGCGAACATTTTGAACTAAATTACAACAAAAAAAAAAAAAAAATTCAAAAAAATACAAGAATTATTTTCGTAAATTTTCCCATTTTCCCTGATTTTTTCTCAATTATTTTTAAAACCGCTTTGAAAATCAAAAAAATTATCTATTTAAAGTATCGACTAGATAAAATTTCCTTTCATAGAAGATGCTACAATTTATAATTCATACGTCGGAGCAAAATTTTTTGTAGAAATAGTGTACACAGTAATAAAAAAATAACATTGTAAAATCAATACATTACTCGCTTTAATCAGAATGTAAAATAAAGGGAAAACATGTTTTTCAAACTGATAATGATAAACTTGTTACTAAGCCAAAAAAACAATCATACATATAACCAAACAAATAAAACGTGCTGAATCGTTCCATAACCAAATAAAAATGATATTCCGAATTTGTAACATTGTACGTAAATTCATTTTCAATCGTATTAGCTTTTTTGGTCAGAGATGAATTTCAAATGTTCTCAATCGTTTGACCAAAACATTTACGTTCTCACATAGCCCTTTGAGTTATTACTGCATTAAAGTTTAGAGTATTTTTAATAACCCAATAAGGGTTTTTTAAGAAAAAAATAAATTAAAACATAACAATGACCTAGCGTCTTGGTATTACTCAGAATCAACAAATATTTTTCGATCATGTTTGTAGAATCTGACGCGAGTGTTGTAATAAGTACACATGTCGAAACTACAAGAGAAATGAAAGCTTACATAAACGCTTTAAAAGCGAATAAAAATAAAATGGCAGGTGTGTACCTACTTATTTGAATATTTAAATCAACCGAATAAATATACAGGTTTCTTTTTTTCTTTAAATCATTGAAAAAAATACAAGCTTTGGTCCAGGATTTAATGAAAAACACAACGAATGATTCATCACAAGAAGAAAATTCAAGCGGCATATTTGTATGGGAAAAAATTTCAGGTATCGTATATTTAAAAAAAAGTTTGTTCTTATCGAACTAAATATTAATATATACGATGGAAAAAGGATTCACAAGAAAAAGAATAAAATAATAAACGGATTCTGTACAAACACGATCGTATATCTATAATACGCGTTCATAGTAATTCGTTTTAAAAATAGAATTTAAATTACGGTATACCTATTAGGTGGATATTTTTAATACAATAATATAATATACTATTAAAAGAAATCTCAACTTAAAATAAAATGTCCACAAGACCGATTGTTAAAAAATAATAATGAATTTCGTCCAAAATATTTGAATCGTGAAAGATTTCAATAATATTTTGAACGACATAATTATAGATAGGTATATATTTTTAAGGTTAATCTAGAATTAATAATTAAATAAAATAATTACAATACCGATTAAAGAGAAGAATACATCTCATTTCAATGAATTCATTTAAACCGTAGGTATATAAATTTAACCCTTAGCAAATAAAAATTAGACGTTAACTTCTAATATTCCAATAGACCTTAGATATTATAGATATTTCTATAAAATTATAAAATGTAATCAAATGAAATTCGGTACTTACAGTCAATATTATAAATAAATAGGCAATTATAATACAAAATTATACATAAAAAAGAATTTAATAAAATTAAATATGCAGATAACTATTGTTATTGACATGTGTCAAATGTATCGATAAATTGTATATAAAAAAAAAAAGTAATTTAATTTCCAATTCCGAGGACTGTTCGGTTATATTTTTAAAAAGAAGAACATTTAAAACCAGATTATTTTTTTTACTAAAATTTTAGTTTTTTTTTACAATATGATTAATACATTAAAATCTATAAACATCAAGAGCGGACATGACCTTTTTTTTAAGAGTCCGTCTCAAACAATCGTTTTAAAAATATCTGTTATTTTATTTTAGCGATTAAACACATGAGGTAAGGTTAAATTCTGAAATTGAAAACGATTTTTGACGAGGTTTTCGATTTAAATGACATATACATTTTTGTATGACTTACATACATTCTCATTATTATAAGAACACCACGATTACAATTTTCAATTTAGTTACACTAAATAATTACTTCGTAATAGAAAAATATTCGAATACGAATAGAATAATACTTTGAAAAATATCTATACCTATATACAAGTAGATTCATTAAGCATGCTCAGATAAATTATGTACATTTTTAAATTCTAATTTTTGGAGTTTTTAAATGCAGTTAAAAACGATATTATCGTGTACTTAGATTTTTCACAGCATTTAAGGAATATCATACTATGGCGATGCCAACTTTGATATCTCAAAAAAAAATCTATATTTAAAATTACATAAATAGATGGAATAACGTTTAGATAAATTTTGGTGTTGGAATTTTTTGATTTCTGTCAACTCGTTCATAATATATTCCACTTTCAAGTTACGATAAAAGAGGAATAGTCACGTTGAGTCACTACAAAAATTATGTTCCACTACTCCTCCACCACCTAAACAAATGGAATACCTCATGTTAACGGAAATCAAAAATTTTAACACCAGAATTTATTTTATCTAATATTCATTTATGGAATGTTTAAAATACTTAGTTATTTTAAAAACCAAAGTTGATATAACCAACATGATACTCCTAAATGTTTTGGAAAATCCAAGTGTACGAAAATATTGTCTAACTATATATACACTTATAAATTTCCTAAATCAAAATGTGCATGCTTCCATAATTTACCCCTAAAAATGAGCTGAGAAAGTTTAATGAATCACCCTGTATACTTTCAAATACCATTTTTAAAATTTCCCTATTTTTAATAAATAATTGTGTTTTTACATAATACAAGTATTATCTTATCAGTATAAAGTTATAAATAAATTCATTACTGATCATTACTCAAGTGTGTACATAAATTACTAACTTAATGAGATTTTTTTTTTTTTTTTTAAAAGGAAAACCTCCAAGATTGGAATGTAGAGAACCTCTGACCGTCGAAATCCCTATTTTGATAACCGATATCACTCATATTATTAATGATACGTTCAGAGACCATTTGTGCTACGATCTTCCAGGAAATAAAAGAAAATTATTCGACTCACTAGTATGTACGAATTAATAATATTTGGTTCTTTAACTTAATCCGTTTAATATGGTTGTATAAAATCGATTTCATACCGTTATTATTGAATAAAGCAATGATGGGGAAAAAAGTTTAATTATCCTAACGAGAGTTACATATTAAAAAAAAAAAATGTCATATTATAGGAGCTCAAAAAGCATTTATCGTTGATTGAAAATATCCGGTGTGCGGAAAAAGATGTTATGGAAGTGCATGAACGTCTTTTAAGAGCCGGCAACAATAACAGCTGGATCGCATTGAAGCCGTGGAACGTAGCAAATTACTCACTGCTGCAGTATCAACGAATGTCCGCCAACAACAATACCATAGAGAAAATAGAAAGTGAGTGTATACCTAAGCCATTTTTAAAATTATATTTTGCACCGTAATAATGTTATTTTCGCGTATCTACTTACATTTTTTATTTTTTTTTATTTTAAAATGTATATTCAACCAGGCGTTGTCAACCAGAATGAGAAAACTAAGATTTACGGTATACACGAAGAGTTAAGACGAGTGAGGATGCGTTTGAATAAAGAAAGACCAAAGTCAGTTCATATAAAGAAAATGATAATAATAATAATATATGGTGAAGAAAGTTAAGTATATATAATATTTTTAGGTTAAACATAAAATATCAAGCTCGCAAAACGGCTTCGAGACATTGCAGTATGGTGGTAGAAAAACCCGAAGACACCGTTTACTTATCCGTAAACACTAATTTAGTACGATTTACTCATTTCAAACTTGGTGCCGTTTACAAAGTGAGTGTGAATATGTTTTTTTATAGACCATAGATAATATCTAGGGAAACGTTGGATTTAAGTAGTAATAAAATAAAAATCATAATGTATAAGGTAATAATCGTTACCTACAAGTATACACATAGTTAATGTTAATTGTATTTTAATTAAGTTTTCTCTGAAAAATCAGACAGCCAATCGATCCTAAAACGAAATATGGTGTTAACATATAAAATATAAAAGTACTATACGTCATTTTTCACTTTTGAACTCTATGGCGTCCAGAGATTGTACAAAAACGAATACACCCTGAAAACCTAACGCGTTTTTTTCTTTTTCTAACCGAACTTTGTTTCGGTTGTTTTCTACGTGGTCACTGTATTCTCTTTAGTCGTAACTCTATAGTTTATTTATTATAAAAATCATTGTTTAATTAATGACTAAATAATATAACAGGCATGTCAGTGAAAATACGTATTTTTTCTATCACTACAAATGTACCTAAAATTCAAAACTTTCAAGGTAAACTTATAAACATAGTTTACAGTCTGTTTATTAAGAATATTCAGGAATTCTTTGAATTTCACTGGGTCATTAAGGTAACAAAAATACTTTCAGTTGAACAATAAAATTGTTGTAAATTCTTAGATAATGTAGTTTATTTATTAAACTAGTATACAGTTCATCAACATTAAGAATTATCCTTTATTAATATTACTATTATTTTTCCGTCTACCGTCAATACGATTAAACCAGGTCCAGAATAAAATTTGAAGAAAATAAATATTTATTCCAAAAACTAATAGGTATTCTAATTTATTTAAACTAAATTTTTAAAAAGTCATAATATTGACAAAATAAGAAAAAATAAACCGAAATGGTTTAGCCACGTCATGTGGAGAGACAAATCAAAAGCAGTAAGCATTGTAATAAAAATAAACACAAGAGAAAAAAGAGGGAGAGAAAGACCGAAAAAGAGGTGTTTGCAATTGAGAATGATAAGAGGATGGTGGGTGTAGCAAGGACGAGTTTGAGGTCAAGTGGAAGTTTAGTACGAAGGTAGCTGATCCCAATACAGTTGAGATAGTGACGAATGAAAAGAAGATTTACTATAGGTCATAATAGTATAGTTAGTAGGGGAAATTTAGTACTGTCAATTAAGGCACAATGGATTAGTACGCACTACTCGATGCCCATACCGTATTTGAAATCATTTTTTCTCGATGATACTTTAAAGTACAACAATTATATGCTGAATATAAAATCTATATAATTTTAATTTAAAATCAATTCTGAATTTTTTTTTTTCTTTCAATAATTTAAATGTGTCTGTGTGGTATAGTTTTAAATACTTCCTGCATAAGTATCTTAATTTTTATCATATGGGCTGATTTCATGTGTCTTCTACTTAGAATTAAAGACATTGGATCCAATAAATTTTCGGTCAAAATAACTAGTTTGATATTTTAATAATTATCACTCCGCAAGTGATCGAAGACTAAGTTTAAAAATGTAGGGCTCAGATCTTTTACTATAAATTTACTAAAGTTTCAAAACTGAGTTTACAATAATGTTAATATAAATAAGGTGATTTTTAAAATAAATGTTAGTATTCCGTAATTAATATTCAATTAGTATCAAGTAATAACCTTCAACTTGTCTATTAAACCATATACCAAAGTTTCAAATGTAAAATAACTTGTTATGTATTGATATAGTAATTTGAATAATAATTCACATCAACTACTTTTTATTGTCAATAAATAGTTCTAAAAACGTGTTTGTAAAGTTCCTAAAATCGTGAACACTCCCCGAAAAATCACCCGAAATTCGGCATTCATAATATCCATATTTCATTCTTTACAATTACCGTGATTAAATAAAAAAAATTGAATCATATTATTTCTTTTCCCATGTGATTTTATCGTCAAGTCACAGACATGCTTTATATGTGTGTAAAATAATTATTCTGACATGCCTGTCTATTTATTATAGTTGAAATAGTAACTCAGCAATGTTTTGTTAAAAGGGCGTCTATCAAATTTAACTTTTATTGCAAAAAAAAAGACAGTAAATACATTTTAATAAAATGTATCATGCAAAACAATTACTCGTTTTTCAACCTCGTTTACAAAGTATTCGTGCATTGAATGTGGTATACACCCTTTTAACAAATCAGTGTTGAATTAATTATATTTTAAAATGGCACCTGGATATCTTTTAGTCAACATTTAGTTTTTTATTTTCAAAATTACCAACTTAATTTTCTGTATTTAAATACACCGTTTTACTAGTGTATGCTTCTAATTTTTCTGAGTTTTTTTTTTTTTTGATACCAAATGCGCATTTTCGACTTTTAGTGGTATACGCCCTTCAAAAAAAAAACACCATTGGACAATTACATTTAATTTCTTTTGAAAATAAAGTTGTTTGTGTCTTCGAAAATTCAGATATATTTAATCAAAATGAATATACATATTCCAAAACTCATCAGTTTGATAATACTCTAATGTTGAATCTTATTCCATGAAAAAATTCAACATTTCAAATTCAATTTCATTCAATTTTTACCGATTTTTCTGATTGATATTTCTTATCAATTTTATTTGTGCTTATTTACTATGATTTCAATGTAGGTACAACAGGAATAGTTCGACTATTTTAATTAATAGTATAAGAAACAGTTTTCATTATCCAACGCAATCTAAATATTTTGGTATTCAAAAACCTTCCAATAGAAATGCATCATTTAGTTGAATTTTGGACGGCAATGTTATCATCGTAAACACGAATTAATTAACAGTTAACCATGAGTAATTGATTTTTTTTTTTTATCAGAATTTAATAACAAATCGATTAGGCATCAAAGATTAGGTTAAGTTAGGTAACTGACACACACTATTTTTATTATTTTATTTTTAATTTTTAAATCACTAAGAGTAACTATAAAGTGTAAATATAAATCTTGAATATCCTTCTTCTTTTGCTCTCTTAGAGTTTTGGCTAACTCTTTAAAAATATCACAGCCTCTATTTAGTATCAATTCCAATTTACTATATTTAACACTCTCGATTCTTCATTTATACCGTCAATCTGTCCTTTTCTAGGTCTCCCACGTGTAGGTCTTTTCCCTAAAACACCTATTCGAATGCTACTCTTAGTGAATCATTATCTGTTCGACGCATATAATATTAATGTGGCATACTTATTGTCTTCTTTTACTAAAAGCTAAACCTTGTCATTGCGAATAAAGACTTTCATTCCTCTTATTTTAATGTCAGAATATGTTAATATTGACATCAATGTCTTTCTTGGTATTCCTCTTCCTTAACGGCCATTGATTATTTCTTTCGATATGTTGGTTACGAAAGGTGAATGTATTATTATGTTTCGTATCCTTGTTAGAGTGTCAATTGATTTTTCGTGAGTATTGTATATTTGTAGTATACCGAAATATTATATATTCTGATAACATTTTTGAATAATAAATTGTAGGACGAATACAACCCTTATTTAATTTTATGCAGAAAGCGTTGGTAAAAATTATCGATACTTTAAAAAGATGAAGTATTCGAATTATAAAATAATTTAAAAATAAGTAAGTATCTTATTCTACGATGGAAGTATAGTTTCACGTTTAAGTGTATAGAAGTACAATATACGGACTGATGAACTTCCGACTAAAATAAATAAGTACATTAAAATTGTAAAATAGATCAACTTTTAAATAATATAACACTACTAAGATACACAGTATTACTCAAATAAATTTTAATTCAGTCAATGGCATGTATTACTGTTTTGTAGGATAATATAATAATTATAAATTCTCTTTGATTTAATTTTTTTCATATTAAGATTACCTTAACGAAAATGTCGGCACATTATGTCGGCAAACATTATAATTAACAAGGGAATTTTTAAGTACAATATGGGTGTAATAATTTTTATTATTAAACGTGATGTAAATATTTTGCAAAAATTACCTATTATAATATAAAAATGTTTTACTACTTGCATATTCTATATTGTTTTGATATGCGAAAGAAATACGACTTAAGATCACCTGAGTTTATTTTGTGTAGGACAAGAAATTATTTAAATTTATAGTAATTTCTTCTCACTATTTGTTCAGAAAACAATAATCGTTAAAAACTCGGGAAAACGTATGGTGTCGTTTAAAATTGTATCGCACAACAATTCGGTAAACGACGTCTTTCAATACGATTATACGCCTTTGCGTATGCTCGCACCGGGTTTAAACACAAAAGTCACGGTGACGTACACGTGCGTGTCGATGGAAGACGAATACGAACTGATGACCATCGTCACCAAAGACGGTAAAAAAACAAACGTTGTTGTTTGTGCAGAGAACGCAATATCCATATTGACATGTAAATATTGTTCTTCATATATCATATCTCTAGTTTTAAAAAGTAATTTCAGAACTTCGGTTCTAGTCAGTGCGTTGGCAAGGTTGTTTTATTTTCAATAGTTGGAGGGAGGGGGAAACCAGAAATGTATTAAACACTGAACCGCAATAACATTTATCGATAAAATCAATTTCGGTTTTTTCGTTACCTCGTCCAATAGAAACAAATTGCAAGAAACCTAAAACATCCATCCAATATACTCATGTCAGCGTTTTTTAAACGCGTAATAATTTCCTAAATATATTAACTATTTTAAATTATTTGTATAAGTATAGCTATTCTTTGACATATTAAAATATTTAAATTTAATTTTTAACAATTTTTTTTTTTAAATTAAGCTCAAAATTGTATTTTGCTTAGAATGGTTGTAATTTGATCGCCGTTTGGTTTTAACCATCACTAAAGTTTTTGATCTGGATGACGAAAATTAATGTTTTTCCCACGCATTATTATAACTTATAATTACTATTTACATTTTTTAATTGCTCATTAGCTATAATAGGGGTACAGTATATTTTTGATGGTAACACCGTTTATTCGAGGCTTTTAACATTATTTGACGATATTTATTTAAAAATGTTTATGTAAATTTAAATCGTATTATTATATCGTTATTACAAGCCCACGAAGATAAATAATTCATTATAAGTATCTTATACACGAGCATATATTATTATATACTACATGAATTGTTCAAACATAAATATTTTATACTTAGTAGGTACCTAAAACGCATTTATGCAATTACTAAAATTAATAATATTATTTTACATGAGCTTATAAAAACGATGTACCTACTGTGGAGTATGCATTATTTGTATGTTGGTTTACTGTTTCGTTACTACAATATTATTATGATTAAATTAGAAAACATTTTCGGGGATATATTATACAATAAAACACGTACAAAAGGAGTTTTATTTAAATTGAGATGCATAAAAGTTATCATATAGGCAAGTTCAAATGTCCGTTAGGCATCGAGTTTCAGTACTACCAGTCAGAAGATCCAGAGATCAAAAATAATAATTCCTACCCAGAAAACAATCTTAAATATAAAATAAACGTTGTATTTTAGTTGATCTTTATATGTTCACAAAATAATATTAATCGAGCTAACTACTAAGTAATATTTCTAACGTTAAAGAGAACTGATAATATTAATAACGTCACTGTTGTAGGTAAGAATTTGCGAAGGTAAGATACATTAAGTTATTTAATTTATGCACATGAGCAACGATAAACCACTGCTAAAAAATACGACTCTGAGCTAAATTCAATTATACTTATTTTGAAATTTACGATTTTCATCAAAAAGTGTTCTTAAAACCTTAGGCTAGTTATCTTTATTCACTACGAAGTACAAAATATAATGCACCTCGTGTTAAATTTTCAAGCAATTCTGTTAAATCAACAATTGAATTCACATAGTACCAACCAAAGACAAATTACATAATAAAACTAGAATATGCGTCTCATAGAAATTTTAAATAACTCGAAATATTTTCAAAATATTTACAAAAAACATATAGTGTAGAAAAGTAATATAAATATTTTCTGTCCCATTTTAAGTGTCTACACATATTTTTAATTTAATTACAACAACAAAAATAAAGTTATCCTAGGGTAATGGGGACAATTGCAGCCACTGTTGTAGGAAGGAAGTTTGGAAGATATAAAAACGGAAATATATCTGTATACAATGATAAACCATTGCTAACGAAAAAGCGATTCTGTACGGAGTTCAGTTGATAGTGTTGATTTTTCAACCGAATTTTCCCATTTATTGATAAACCAATTGGCAAAATCAAAAAATAATTTTCAGAAAAAATGCTTGTTGTTAAAAAGTTGTTCAAAAGAAAAAAGTCATAATATTTTACAACACATTTGTACATTTTCCGGATTTTCCAATTTTTCACATTTATTGGAAAAACTCTTGGAAAATCGAAAATCGAAAAATAATCTGCTTAATACACCACCCCAGTCAGATTTATTTTCAGAAAAAGAGTTACAATGGAAAAAAGGAGAAATATTTCTAGTGAAAAAATTGATTTTAACATAACATATGGAAGACTCTGTATAAACTTAACCAGATCACTTAGCTTCATTTAAAATTAATTTTTAATTGCGATGATTATTCAATCCTTTCGTTTTGTAAACTTAATCGTCCTATGTCCTTACACACCTTCCCAACTTCCCACCTACAACATTGGCCTACCCAAGATGTGAAATATGTCTGAGCATTTGAATTTTAAGTAGAAGTATATGTATCCAAGAAACTACTATTACCCCTCACATTAAACACTAATTACCTACAAATTTACTAGGTTATTTTCCCCTCCTCCACCAGTAAAATACTTTTCATTCGTCGGTAGAGATGCTGCTTCAAAAAACAGGGCTAAAACAATAAGTATATTACATTTTAAAGCGTGCAAACAATAATTAAATATTAAATAGGTAGGTTGGCAAATATTATATATTATCTCTTGAATAAACAAAATATAACAAATATAGTACACTGTAAAACACTATACTCAGCACTTCCACGCTATATTAGAGAATATAAAGATATCAATGTCTGTTAAAAAAAATGAACGATTACTCTTACTTGAATAGATGTTTGAATTTTAGATATTAAGCCTGAATGGTATCTAATTTACACTGTCTTTTTATATTCAATTATTATTGGTCACATTCGTTTTATATGAATGTCAAAAAAATAACCAAGTGAAATTGTAAACGAAATCATTACACGAGTAATAAACCCATTTTAGATTATTTCTCTTAATATAATACAAAAAAGTGCGTTTTTATTCGTTACAAATTAATATTATTGAAACTTAATAAAATTTGGTTTAGACATTTTCGATAGTTACGATATGAAATCCGTTTTGGAAAGCCAAACTCATCGAAATTTAAATGCTGAGACACTCTGCGTATTTGAGTGCAATGCTTGTCTGGTGGGTGCTACCAAAACGATTGTGGTCATGGTAAAAAATACCGGACGTTCAGCCAAATTTATTTGCGTTCCCGAAGACGTTTGGTATACGCAATCGGTTGAAGTAAGTGCCTACATGACTATACATATATAAAAAAAGTTTATAATATTTAATTACAAAATATGAAAACTTTAGACGTGGCTGTGAAAAGGGTAAGTTCAAAAAGGGTCAGCGCAAAATTATGTTAAGTCCCTATAATCACCAAAACATACCTAATATTGTTATTAAATATAAAATTAACTTTTTCTAAGTATGCGCGTAGTATATAATTCTAGGCGGCCACAACTGACAACGACGGAATTTCCAAGCTATTATTTTTGTTTAAACTCGTTAAACTCGAGTTTTATCAACTAAATATTATAATATTTTTGTTTTTTCCAACATTATGAAAATTTTTGTTTGAATATTATAATATTTTAAATATTCATTTATTATAACTCTCAGGGAAAAATAACTTATTATTATAAACGATTTATGATGGGGGAACGTTAATTTTAATAAACATTAAAGAACAAACAACACGGGGCATAACAAATATTCAGTTTGTTTTAACTTTAAAAAAATATATTCTCATAAGTATATTCAGAATTTAAATAGTTTTTCTTATTTTTTTTTTTTTTAATTTAGCACTTTAAATGTCTTTTTTATACACCCATATATATATGTATTTATAACTGCAGCCGGAGTAATTTAATGAAACAACTAAAATTATTTATCAAACAACTTGTTCTTCGCTATATTTTTAATATACTGAATATATAATTCGAACCCAAAATCAAATTTACATCTAATCGAATAGCATCGTAGTTTTTCCTTTTAGTATAGTATATAAATTCATTCACGATGTATACGAAATTATTCTGCAGGGCTAATGAGATTTATTTATCCATCAAATTTAAATGATCAACATTTAGATATAGTCTGCAATATATACATATAAGAAAACGGACGTTTAATTCATTTTATAATGTAAAGTGCATCAATAAAAAATCAGTTGAATTTATATTTATTAATTGTATTTTATATATCAAACTATAATACAACTAAGAAATAGTAAAAATATTTGTGAAATAAATTACAATAATATAATTTAAAATAACTGCGAGATGGTAATATTTGTATTTTTCAAAAAAATTATTAATATTAATACTATTACCTGATCAGCCTTATTTTCCCACGTAAAAATCATAGGTACCAAAATAGGTAAATAAATACAAAATTAATTGAAAGACACTAGAAAAAAAGGTAAATATAAGTCCACGTTTAAAAAATTAATCAGCAGATTAAAACTTCTTTACAACTGAATAGATTACGTTCTTTTTTACCCAATACGCTCGATATTTTATATTCAATATTATCCAACTGAAATAACCATATTTTTTTTTTATAACATTCTCAACAATTAGTGTACACCGAATAGTATCACTATTAAAAGTACCACTATTTTAGTACCAATATTATCATTTTAATGTCGAAATAAATGGAATACGCTTCTTCAACCGTTCTTTTCCCGTGCCCTTCAATTTAATTTATAGAAAATCATAGATAACCAGGTGCTTGTTAAAAACCTTTATTTTCTAGAACGTAGAATGGACAAATACAGTGAGTCTGGAAGTGTTTAGTATCACACCATCAATATTCGAAATCGATTCTGGACAATCAATGGCACTTAACGTTATGTTTAAACCGCATTTACCATCGTTCTACGTAAGTATATGTATCGGGTAGTTTATTTCAAATTTTATATGATACGCATAAAAAAAATATTATAGCAGGTATTTCTTTTTCTTAATTATTTGCATAGATCGTATATTACGTTTCAACACAAAATAATTTTCAAATACGGATCGGAAAATATTATAAATAGTAAATAGATACGTAATAGAAAATTGTGTTCTAAAGTATTCTAAAAACATGTTGAAATAATACTGTGGGTTATAACAGGTTAACCAAAAATTTTAATAACAAAATAATATGAAAAATATATATTTTATACCTATCACTTTTGAGGAGTAAAAAAAAAGAGGCTGTTACTACTGATAGGTGTACCTTATTATAGGTGGAAAGTAGAGAAGGTAGAAAATATCAAATAATTTAATTTATATCTGCACTTGATGATAAATGATAACTGACGAAATATGGTTCTGAGCTAAGTTTAGTTAAACGTGTTTTGAAATACCGTAATTTGTACGATTTCCGTCAAAATTCGATCTTAATTTATTTACTTAGTTGCATTCAACTTTTTTTTTCCCAATAAGTTAAACCTAATATAATACATAATTATGTGCCGTTCGAATATCACTGAGCTAGCCCTCTTAATTTGGTACAACAAACTACCAACTGCAGAACCTTTGAAGTTAGATCCCAATAGGCCGATCCACATTAAAAAAGCGTCCATACTATTAAATTATAATAAAGTAACAAAATAGTGAATTCCTATAGAAACTTTGATGTAGAGAAGAGTATGACCCAGCCGTATAATAAATAAACAGTATGTGATTACATAAATATATGGTCTAATGTTCAGATTGTGAAAGTCATTATAGTAATCTTTCGAGAGTAACTATCAACTAACGCGTATGCGTAAGAATGTGATTGTTGATTGAAAACTATCGTAGTTAATTTCGTAACCAAAGTAACAATCACTATAGTATTTCCCAGTCTTATGTCATAACTAGACAATGGAATTCTTAAAAACAACAGTTTAAACATAATATTTAAAAAAAAAAAAAAAATAAAGCCCTAAAATTATGGCGTGTATTTCAATAACGGCTATGCAAATATAATATTATATGTCAAATACTTATAAGTCAAATACAAGCTCAACCAATAGGTACGACAAATAAGAATCTCTATCTATACATTCCGAAAAAAAAAAACGTATAGATCCATTTTAAATGTTAACAAAATTTAAACCAAAAAAAAAAACATCAAATAAATTTCAATTTGAATGATACCGTCGTATTTATACAAAACCGATCACTTTGAATGTGCCACTGCACAATATTTACAATGACAACGGGTACGTAAAATAATAAAAAAATAATAATAATACAATGCAGCCAATTAGCATATTATTATCTTAAATGATATTATTGGAGCACCAATTATTACAAAATATAACGCACAGTCGTCACATTTCAATTTCGTAAACTAACAGATTTATTGTTTTGTTCATCAGAAACGATATTATATTGAGGCAATCATCGCCTATATTATTTTACAACGACGACGCTTCAATCAATTTCGGTAATAAGTCACGACAGTTTAAAATAAAGGGTTAAGATTTAACAATACATAATAATTGAATATGCGATGTCATATCCTATATACTCGAAAACTATTACAACGGACATGAGTTCGAAATTCGGATTGCAATGCGATATTTTAAAACGAAAATCTAAAAAGTCTATCACCACCAATGGACAAAATATAATATTGGATTTACTTTTTTTATAAGTTATACTTATAACAGTTTAAAAATTTAAATCGGAAGAGTAAAAAAAGGGAGTAATATTGCATATTCATTTTTAGATAAATTTATAACCTTTTCCTATTCTTCCGATCTAAACTTTAAATTTTTTACTCATTAATGGCAATTCTGATATTATGACGTTATGTCTATCAAAATATTTAGACATTTATACTTTATTTTAATAACTTGAAAAAGGTAGGGGGATTGCTATTTCAAAATTAGGAATGTATACTCATTTTAGGTACAGGGATTAGAGGTTATACATCTAAAATAGTGATAAAATAAAGCATAAACAATTTCATAATGATTGAATAAAATCAGAAATCAAATCCACAAAAAATTCTCCGAGAAAACCGGTAGTTCAAGATTAATGGATCACCCTGTAACACAATCGCATTTATTTTATTAACTGTTTTTATAGACATTAAAGGTCTTCAATGTTTACTAAATCAATGAAATATTAAATTTTTACCGTAATTTTTTTTCCATCCTCTCTAATAAAAAAAATGTAGAATATAAATATTATAGGATTATTTTTTTAAATAATTTAAAAGGTAAATGGACCTCGAGCGGACATTTTTCACTTCTGAGTTGTTGGACTTATTCCCCCTCCTCTATTCCCATGAAGCTATTATTACCATCGTTCTATCAGGAGGACGATTTTTTCCTCACTACCAGTAAATCCGAAAGAGGGATAAGTACTATTGACGAGAGGAATTTACCGTAGTCACGGGAAAGACGGAAATATTATTCTAAGTATTCAATTTAAAATGCATAGGTAAGTACTTGGAAAATAATATGTATGCATTTTTATTATTACATTTAGGTTTCATATTACTTCTATTAGCTATGTTATATACTATTCTTGGTTTAAGGTCAAATATATTTTCAAACATTTTGAATAGGTATCTACTTTTATATTAATTTTTAATATTGGACAAGTAGTTTAATATAAGTAAAAAACAATGCTCTATATTGGAAGTGGAAAAGTTTCTTTACTTAAACATCCACAAGGAAGAAATATTGTCGTTAATATTACTATTCTATATTATTAATTATTATCCATCCATTATTTCGGTTCTTCTTGTCAACGTCATCTAGCTAGTTATAGTATATTATCATGTGTCTATTTTATGAAATATTTCCTTATGTTACATATTACATCCTTTATACATATCCATTGTTTTCTTAACCTCCTTCTAAGTTCATCCAGAACATGTAGTATTATAACTTCAACTGCATAATAGTTTCTTTTTAAACTCACGTTGATTAATACTCGTAGTATAATTAATAATATTCTCAATTTTACCACCCAAAGTTAACGTATTAATTTATTAGGTTAAGTTAGGAAATTTCACAAAATAAATGTATTTTTTCGAATTTATAATTGAGTAGGTATATAATTATATTTTCGTTCAATACATAAAAGTCTCTATTGACGTTAATAATAAACATTATATCGTTTTCAAAATCCAAAATCATTAACGGGAAAGTGAAATCTAGAAATATCAAAGAAGTTTTGAAGTTTTAAACGCACCGAAAAATGTCCAAATATAAAAATAATAATAATAGTTAAAAGTAAAAATAAGTTATTAGTAAAAGTAATTAAGGAAGGTCAAAAGTTAAGAGGTATGTTTGATCTATATATTCATGGAGTATTTTATGGGTGGGGTGGATACACAATAGATTATCAAGGTTCACTAAAACATGCTTAAGGGGTAAAATGCCTAAAGGGTTTAACTGGCTCGTGAGATAGTATAATAAAACACACTCTCCTCTCTTATGCTGCAGCAATAACGCAACGAATAAAACTGCGACAATTGATACTATATTATCATAATAATAACAATCCTGGTATCGTGTTATTTTTAGACAGTATTTTAAGTGTTATTTATTCACAGTGTACCAGATTTATAATCATATCGGACAGTTCATGCGCTCACGAGGGGAACGTGTTTGGCGACGGTCAGATATTTGACCGACGAGAAATTCGGCTAGAGGTAAGTGATACAGCACGGGGTCGGTGGTCATGAGAGTCTACAGGGGTGGGAAGGGGATAAGAGGAAAAGAAAAATCGGAATTATCCGATAAAGGTACTAACGTGAACACCCGTGTATATCTAAATATACCTTTATATTATTGGTCTCCTGCTATAGGGACAAGATTTGCAGTCGACCGAGGAGGCGCCGCCCGGAAGCTACGTGCTCGACATGGGAAAAATTGGCGAGACCGTCCGGTACGTGTACGTGAAAAACACGAGGTACGTCCCAAAAACGCACCCGACAAAGTTACCATAACAGCGCGGGTATCTCGCGGTATCTACAACTCGCTAGGTCATAGTATTATATTATTATACTACCGTAATATAATTCACGTTGTCTCGGCGACCGAATCTAGAGACGACGGAGACATACTTGCGTGGGATGGGAGAACCACGTATTACATACGGTAGTGGTACGACTGCACAGCAGTTTTATAGGTTGAGCAGTTAGGCGATAGGAACTTTACAATTTCCGCTATATTACTATTGTTATTGTATATGTGGGCCTTGAGAGAGGCGTGAGGGATAGCCGTGCGTCGGTCGTGTGACACATGATTAAATGGATGGCGGACGTACGTGCAGATAAAGTTTCGTTCAAATCGTGAGTGGGATAAAAGAGTATATGACGGTGTATGGTGGTGTGTGGAAGAGGTGATGCGGTTGGCGAATACCTCAGTAAATTTGAAAGCGATCGCTAATTGTACAAGTTTATATTAATAACAATAATGATAGTAAACAATAGTAATTAATAAACTATATGCAAACCGAAAATTAGAACGAGGAAGACATTCTTAGATTTTATTTTTCTGTTTATAAACAACATTCGGACCAGAAATCGTATTCCATTCAACTTCTTGTGTAGTTTCTGTTACAAAAATTTTTTATTCGTAGAAACTTGAAATTCTCACCAAAAATGTATATTAGCTTATTCTATACAATGTATAAATTTTGGATTATGCCGACATTTTTAAATTTATTTAAATGCATAATTAAACGTGTGTTATTATTTGAAATTTTAGAGTTTTTTTGGCTTCACATAAATGCTTTAATTGCATAAAAGCGGTTCCTCCACAATCATCTTTCCTACTCTTATTCTTGCCTTGAATAACTAGCCTAAGTATCTTATCTCAAATTCCTTTGGGTACATGGAAAAAAAAACGTTTTTAATGAATGCGTTACCAACCATCCATTTGTATAGAATATAAGCTAGTATAAATTTAGTTGAAATATAATTTTTTTTTTTAACAATATAAACACTTTACTTTATTTATTTTAATAATCTTATATTATATATTTTTTTTAAAAAACATAATGTTAATATACCATAGAATTGTTTACAATGACATATCTCTCACTGACATAAACAGTACTACATTATATAATAATTAATGATATCCATATTATTATTGTATCTGACATGTTTTATGTATGTTATAAAATATCAATATGACATAAAAACATATCTACGAATTATTATATAAACAATCTTACTAATAATATACATTTAAAATTATTTCTTGTCTTCCACTTCATATAGTACCTAATATACAAAAAACTATTTGTTTAAAACCCGTCTAATCTATATAGTACCCACGTCTAAAATACACAATCTTAATTATTTGCAAATCACTGTTCTATATAAAAAGATAAATAGGCATACAATTGTTTATTGCAATTAAAAATATAAGATATAAAAAAAAAAACTTTAATGATGGACCGTGCAAAATGAATATTGTTTATAGAAATAATCGGAAACAGTGTAGGCATGATACTTATTTACTGTTTCTGACATCATGGTGACAAAAAAAATTTTAATCTTGAAAATAACGAAGACGAATAATTTCAGAGAAGATTCAAATATAAGACTATATTTAAATATAACATTTGAAGTAATCAAATCGAGAGAAAATGTTTATGGCATGATGACATCATAAAAATACTGTGTTACCAAAAGATAAAACATAAAATACGGATACTTTATAAAATAATGATGTCATCATAAATCGGTCAAGGAAAATAAATAAAAATGTAAAAAAACATATGGTATTGTTGATGGGTGTGCTATAGTTTTTGGTGGAAAGTTGGGAAGTTAGGATACGTAGTTTATAAATTATATCTGTATGTAACGATACGTCATTGGTAACTAAAAATGATTCTGCGCAAAATTCTCTAAAACGTGTTTTTTGAAGCAATTATTTTTAAACGTAAAAGACCTAAAAACAGCTCAAAAATCGACGCTTTGAAATTGTCAGAAAATCTAGAAAGTGCTAATAAAAATGTTCAATAGAATTTACTACCTAAATTACAGTAATAAAAAAAAAAAAATTAAAATGATGAATTTGTCTTGATTATCGACAAAAATGAAAAGAAAATCAAAAAATGATACCAGTGCACCAAATAAGCTATTTACACTTGCTACACAAGACGATCGGATCAAGATGTCTGATAATTAAGTTGTGTACAGACAAAAAAAATATCATAATAAAACCCAAACTAAGCGCTCAGAATCTAAAATATTCTTATATCTGTCAATAGGATTAATACCAAAAATAACCACACTTTAAATTTGGCAATGCGAATATAACGTGAACAAAAATTATAGTTATTATTATCCAAACGATTTGTTAACTATCAAGTGCTTTTAACTCGGTTGAAGTAATATATTATTATTTGTATTATGATTTGTATATACATAAGATTATACGACATACCAATCATCGTTTAATATTTAAAGTTTCTGTTTCATGATATTTTTTTTTCTAAAGGTCGCTTAGTATGTTTCAGTAATAGCTGTGATTTTAGTAGTTCGTATTTGTATTATATAAATCCAAATCCCGTAATTCAATATGCCAGAGATAAGTGAAATGTCAGCGGCTCTTATTTGCAAATTTGCAATATTGTTATTTATTAACCACTTCGTCGTACGGGGACGAGATGACGACTGTTCAGATGCTGCAATAAGAAGATGTTTATAATTAATTTGAAGTCGAGTTGTACGCAAAGTAAGTGATTTGTGAATGATCTGCGACATTAGTGTTTTGTCGCGGAATATTATTTGCGTCACACAGAACGACGATGATGATGTTTGATTTGGAAAACGTGAATGCATATAACGGAGTTGATTGTTGAGTTTTGTTTGCTTCGAATCTTAGCAGTACGTTAATAATAATTACATTTAATGTTACTCAGGCAGCAACTTTGGATTATATGTCGTATGTACACTGTTGCAATTGGATACAGTTGTGTCATATTGCAGAGAGAGCAAGTTGGTGTGTGTGAAGTTTTTTAATATTTTAAAATCGATATTTTAAATTCTGAGAAAAGAGTATATTTTTTCCATGTGTCTGTGAAAAAATTGCCAACGAAAATAACTTGCTTCAATCAAATATCTTGTATTTTCAAACTAGGTGGTGCGTTGGGAAAATTCTTTGTACGCCTACTATAAATATAACAATAAGAATACTCCGAAAAAAAAAATATTGACATAGTCTTCGTCAAATTCGATGTTATTGCTCATTTCTTATAAACCAGTTTGAACTTATTAACGAATAATGCAATTTTCACCGAATTTTTGACTAATTTTTGACTAGCATTTTTAAACATGATATAATTTCAAAAATATTTGGCTCTTTTAAGTGAATTATAGTTATGTTATATTTGTACACATTTTTCGGACAGGATCAAAACTAGGTTCATCAGAATTTTTCCTTTACTAATATACAAATGTTAAAGTATATTTGATAAGTGTTTGAAGCTGTAAATATTATTTTGTGTTTCAAAACCAATACACTCTATACTTGAATTGACCAAAAAAATATTTATTGGTATGGTAATGGTAACCTAACTCAGTTGTTTTCTGAACATATTTTAATATTTATATACACACTTTTTATGTTTGTTTTTTGCTTTTTATTTAAAATGTAAACGAATGAGTAGGCAATTTAAGACCATACAGGTATGACGTTTAATATACTTTAGATAGTAAATAAATACTACACCAAAGCGTGTAATAATATATTATTTCCTTTCATGATTCTCTTTCAGTGTTTCTTCTTTGATAAGTGATCATAAAACACAAGAGTAGTTGATTATAAATTTGGTACACACACTCTAAAAAGTTTTAAATTCTGAGTAGAGCGAAGAAACTTATGGTATTACAAAGATGTTTATTTTTTATTTTTTTTAACTATGCGCAACTTTTCTACCAGAAAACTGACTCAGATTTCTACATGTAGCATATTTTATGAAATAAAATCAACGTGAGTAGGTATCTTAAAGAGATAATTTTTTGATTTTCTCAAAAGTTTTCTCAACAAATTTAAAAACCAGAATAAAACATGGGAGGAAAACGTAGGAAAACGGGGAAATTCGGTACAACATTAAACAAATATTATTAAAGAAAATATATAAAACCTATTTAATAATTATTTTATTGTAATTTGATATAATATATATTATATATGTTATTGACAAAGCAATCAACTGAACTCCGCTCAGAATCGTTTTTCGTAATTAATGGTTTATCGTTACTTACAGGTATACATTAAATTATCTATAACAGTGGATCCGCCCGTCCCCATTTCGTCTAGGATATCTATTTAATCTTATGGTTCCGATATAGATAGTTATAATATACAAGTTTAAATAATAATATAACTTCTGAAGATTGTAATATAAATTCATCATATTAATTGTCTGATGTTAGATTTTTAGATTCTAGCGTAGTGAGGAATCTAGGAGTTTTAATATGTTCTATATATTTTTTTATGGGTGTAACTTTTCGATAAAATAAGATTTCCTCGATGTACTAAATGTAGTACATATTCTGAAAAGCTGTGTTAGTGACGTCATATTTATATTTCACAAAGATTTTTTAAAAAAATTGAAAAACTAAAAAAAAAATATATAGGTAAAAACGTAAATATTTTTGGAGCACTGTGGCATTAGAGATTTCATTGTTTTATTTTTTTTCAAACTATTTTTTTACTAAAAATTTGTTTTTAATCTAAGATTGTCTAAAAACCTTCTCTATTACATTTTGGATCTAGTTTTTCACGATGATTTTTTTTTTTTTTTTTTTTCAAAGTAGTTTTTATAGTAATTGAAAAAAACCGGAAAGATGATGAATTTAAACTGATAAATTTCCGGCATTATAATTCCTTTATGTCAAATTTTTACGACTTATATTTTCTACAAAAATTGACAAGTGATATTTTTTTAAATTTTGAATTTTGATTATTACTTATGAACAACGTTTTTTTTTTTTTTTGTTTTTTCAGAATTAAGCAAAATCGGAAAAAACATAAAAAGAAGAAGAAAATTTACGAAAATAATATTTTTATTATTTTATATTTTGTTTTTTTGTTATAATTCAGTTAAAAATTTAGTAGAGACTTTAAATTTTGCAAAAACTTAGGTTTGTTTTTTTAGACGTGATAAAATTTCCAAAATATTGGAGTCATTTTTGAGCTATTTATTCATTAATTTTGAGAGGTTTTTACGTAATTTTTTGTTAGTAGGTACTATATAGATAACATTGTAAAACTAAACAAAAATGCTTGAAAATTTAACAAAACGTCCATTATGAAGTGTACTTTGTAATCAAAATAAATAAACTGTGTTTAACTTAGGGTTTTTATTTTTTTTTATAATAACAAAATTTAATGAAAATCATAAATAAAGGCCGTAATATTTTACGGCCTCTCAAAACATGTATACCCGAACTTTGCGCTGAATCGTCTTTCGTTAGCAATGGTGTATCTTTACTTTCAGATATAAATTAAATAACTGTATGTAACCTAAATTTCCAACTTTTCATCTACAACTATGGCACACTTGTCTTCAACATCGGCCCTTTTTTTTCTTTTTTTACAAGTCTTTAGTTAACTCAATTTAGAGGATATTATGTTTTTTAATCCCAAACTATTGTATATAAGCACGTATCAAATAAAACCAAATTGAAATAGAATAACAGAGCTTCAGTTTAATAATATTAACACAGCTAAAATATAATATTTTGTATAAATTACTGCGTAATAAGTGTTATAGAACATAAAACTAATCAAAAATAAATAAAAATACCTAAAAGTAAAAAAAGAATGTTAACTTTCCTACATTTTAAAAGAGATATTTTGCATTTAAAAAAAGGACATTTTAATGCAAAAATATCGGGTTTAGATAAACACAATTTTGAGTAAGCTTGGAGCGGATGTAACAAGAATGGGTGATAAAACTTTGTGGTTAGAGAATTTTTCTTATTGAAATACGTAAAGAGTTGAATAAAATTCTCGAGAAAACTGTTATTTGTCAAAATACAATACTATGTACAATGCTTAATTATTTCCAATAGTTTTAGATTCTGAGTTTTTTTTTTTAAGTTTAACAGACAGCTTTTCTGAGAGGAAATCGGTATATGGAGGTACTTTAAGAAGGTCACTTTCTCAGGAGTTTTCTCATCAATTTTGAAAAAAAGAAGAAAAAATGAAAAAATATAAGAAATATAAATATTGGCTAAAATATATTACGGCCTTCTCTTTTTCTCGTAGAAAACTTTTTACCAGCAATTTTGCTCCAATTTTTAATGATAGCTATGTTACCAAAAGAAAATTTTAACGGTAGGGGGTTATTTAGGGAGGTTATTGTTCAATTTTCCCAAGAGTTTTCCATACAAATATGAAAAAAACATGAGAAAACCGAGAAAAACGTAGAAAAACGGGGAAAATCGGTACAATATTAAAGAAATATTATTAAAGAAAATATATAAACCCTATTTAATAATTATTTTTTTATAATTTGGCATATATATTTTGTATGGTTGTCAAAGCACTATCAACTGAACGCTCAGAATCGTTTTTTTGTAAACAATGGCCTAACGTTGCTTATAAGTTTACATTAAATTATCTATAACAGAATCTGCATTCATCCCCATTGTCTTAGGACGTCATTTTTAGTACACGATTTTAACATGGCATAATAAAGTCAATGTAAGTAATAATTGTTTTATAACCAAAATATATTTGAATAACATTAATTTTCGAGCATTCGTTATACTATTACTTATACTGAATTCATCTTAAATATTTCATTATTTGGGCCTTTTCTTAATCAGATTACGAACGACGGATTTGTTAGAAATAAAATACAATATTTTATTGTAATTTTTGTTTATAATTATTATAAAATGAGTTTTGCAATTTTATAGCAATATTATATTATAGGAAAAAATGGAGCGGTAAAACGGATCAATTATTAGCTCGTTCGTTACATAATAAAACACCATAAATCTTTTTTTCCTTTTTTTTAATTTTTTGTCCTCTCAAAATATAGTCGTATCGTATATCCGTATCACTGGGTCGTCGTTAATCATGGCGCGGCAATCGTTAAGTCACGAAGTTCGGAAAACGCCAAAGTAAATTTTCACATTCATCCGTCAACGGGGTTATTGGACAAGATCTCCGATACGATGTTCAGTATGGAATGCAGTGTCACCGACGAGATTGTCGACAAAGAACTCACGGGCACATATCGCGTAACCGCTACGTAAGTATAAGCAATGTTGTGTTTTATCTAGATAGGCAAATTTGTATTTTTTATCATATCTAGAAAAATGCAAAATAAGTTATATGAGATAAATAATTGAATAACCTTTATACATTTATCTATTGATAAATCATCATTTTAATTTGTATATTAATATAAGAAATATTAGGTACAATTTTTAATTTATACAGTTTAATACCTGAATTATTAAAAGTAAAATTAATTGCATACCTAAACGTTTATTTGAAATTTCGATGTATATCAAATATGGTTAATTTAGCACATAGTTTTATGACAGGTAAGTATTGTGTTCATATAATTAGGGAGTTTGACACTAGAGATGTAAGGGAAATAAAGAAGTGAAGATTTAAAAACGGTTTTTTGACAATAGCAGAATTTTAATATACCTAGTCATGAATCTTTGAGAGACCTTTGTATCGAATCTAATATTCTGGTTTATGGCATACTTTGAGAAATTATAGTAAGAGTTCTGAAAACTTTGGCTTGGGCTACCTCAATTTTATACCAGCTTGAGTTAAAAATATTAGATAAAAATTGATAAAGTTGAAAATACAAGAATAAAAACATTTATTTAAAATATTAGGCACTTAATACTATAACATATTAATCAACCGACCTACTGGTTAATATTTAACTAAACGAAAGAGATTGAAATAGACGAAATTAACCATAGAAGACTAATAAAAGTATCATAGGTTTACAAAAAAATATAATACTAAATATGCAATACAATTAAAAAGGTATTAAACGTGCTTGTTTTCTCCTTTTCTTTTTTTTTCACAGGTTATTATTATTATATCTAATTATGTCACTATAATATGCACCGAATATATGAGGTCTTTGATAGTTGATACAAAAAAAAAAAAAACTACATGGGATTATGGTAAATGACGTATTATAAACTTTCAAATTTAGAAAAAATAATTTATACATATTTTTTTTTTTTAGCAGTCGAATGAGAATTTATGTATAAGTACTCTAGATCGCGTTTTTATGGTAATTTCGGGTCGTTAGTACATTAATTTTGATGTGAACCATAAATTTTAAGGTACCTAATGCGTAGTTTACACTATATCTAGGCTGTGTTTTTTTTTTTATAAAACTTCCCCTCAAAACTTAAAACTTATCCTCGAGTTGATTATATGCATATGAATTGGATTATTTATATTATTTTATTATCAAGCTTCGGAACCAATATAGCTCAAAAATTCTGTTTACAATATATAACTATGTATATTATTTTTCGAAGACAATACGTTGAAAGATTCGCAACAATAATATATTATAATAACGTTCTCCGTTGAATTCGATGGGCTGGCCTTTATTTTTATAGAATCTCCATCAGGAAACATTAATTGCATTATATAATTGTTTTTATTAAATTTAAATGAGAATATTGTTTATTTGTTAAATTTGATGATGGGTATAAGAACCGAACAAAATATTTCAATTTAGAATTACACGAGTCTTAATAAATGCGCGTTTTTCTCGCATTGAATAAGCTAAAGTCATTAAATTACACGGTCGAAAAAACTATTTTCATGAGTATTGTATGTCGTTTTGTCATCTTGATTTGATAATTCTGAATGGAACATTAATTTATAGTCATTCCGTAAATTGTTAGGTAGGTATTTGAATACTGCAAATATTACATACGTACTACGTAATTTCTCTCCCCCTCTACATTTTTCCAATTAGATTGTTGACAAAATTGCAAAAATTAAAACTGAAAATTACGATAATAACCGAAAGCAAATACTACACAAATTGAAATTCCGAGCTCTAAACTAACTCAAAACTTATCAATTATTTTTGAATGGGATGGATACAAGGTGCTTCAATTTAACACTTAAAAAAACCGCACCATTATCCAACATCGAGAATAATACTCATAGAAGTATTTTACAAAAAGAACAAGTTATAATGTCTATAGTTTCAATGAAATTTACATAAACCTGCTAAATAATACTTACACTGGGCTTTCAACTACACTCCTTTTTATTATTTTTGTCTGCGTATTATAGGCTTACTTCCTTTTAGGTGTGTGAGTTGAACTAGTTCGTCCAATAACGTCCTTTATCTTTTTTCCACGCAAGCATGTACGCAGAAAACAATTACGGGGAAGACCTTTTGTGAAGATTCATAAATAAAACCGTTAAATATTAAACGTTTTGAACTATAAAATTATAGCATATGATGCATTTTTGAAATTTCGAAGTGATTAATCTCTAAAATCCTCTTTTATACGAACCTATTTCCAGGGACGACCCATTAAAGTTTATAGCTTAAACTTAGTAATTCTCTCGTATTTCTATTACCTATATAGTATCTATATCATCGGCTTTTGTTTTCATTGGCTTGTTGTAATACTTACTCTGCATCTTATTTGTTACATACGTCTATAACATTATAATACGCACGACATAACAAATCTGAAAGCTTTTATTATTTATTGTTTTTCCGTACCTTTATTGAATATTGATGCTATAATGGTTATGCGTATAATGTTTTCAATATCATTGTCCTTCGGGCATTATGTATATATTCTTTGATGTAATTTTTTTTTTTTTTTTATCATAAAACTCGATTTTTATCACTGCAATTATATTATCCTTATTGTTTAATAAATAACCACTTTTTTATAACCGGTATCTAACCCCTGTTTCCCTACTCCCGCCTATTTTGACTGTTACGATACGCTTACGCTAAAAAAAAAAAACATAAATTCTCACGGGACACTTGTAATTTTCGGACCGAAGTAGAGCTCGCATATATAAAGAGACGAACGCTCATAACAAATATTATTATTCTTAAAAGTATACGGTATTATCATCCACCGGCTTTTCTTGTATTGTTACGCGGTAATATCAAATACGGCCGAGTGCCACTACGAACCGTATAATTGTGTATAAATATATAAATAAATATAATAATGCATTTGTACAATATTTGCGCGTTTAATTAGATCCTAACATAATATTGTACGTGAGTGTACGTATCTACCTACATATTCGAACGTAATATTTTACATAAAATACGCGCGCAATTTATAATAATTACGTTTTTAATGTTTAATTAAAACTGTACAGTCACGACGATTAATTAAATTGAACGCGTTATTTATTTTAATAATAATAATCTAGACCAGGCACCGCTACTACAAAGTATACAAGTATACAACAACATGACGGCAAATACCCACCGCGGCAACGCACATTATATTTTGGTTACATGGGCGCTTCGATATGAACTTAAACGTCTTATAAATGTCCGTTGAATTATACGGTAAAATTTTAATGTTCAGTAAATTATAATAATAATAATACTGTACGGCATTAGGTACCTACTTAAATAATATTACAGATATGACCTATACGGATAGACAAGACGTACAAAAGTAAACATTTTCAACAGAAAAATAATTAATACAAATATATAGTATCATTAATACGTTTGATAATAACTATTTTCATTTTAACTGGGACGTTGGCCTTTTATACCGACGGGCGTTAACCGTTAAGTGTTTGTCCTTCTTCGGAGTACGTAAATAAATACAACGTTTCGGTATACCGCATATCTTTTGAAAAATGACACGCTTGGGAAATAATATCGGCAGAGCAAAATATCCATAATTATAATAAAATTTCCTAAAATCCTAAAATATGCCTTAAAAATCCAAAAACGACAAAATATGTATACAGAATAAACTTATACATCTATATACAGTCGAAACATATTTATTATAAACTATCTATTTTTTTAACCAAAAAATATAAATATCCAATATATAATTATATATTGTTATATATATAATTATCTTTCCTAATAAATAATAATTATATAATATCATTGTACAGTATATTATTAAAATATTTAGCCCAATGTCCTTTTTCATGTATGTATCCAAGCATTATATATAAACAGATATACAATGTGTGTTCAAAATGTATCCAAGCTGTTTGAATTGCACGCCACTGGAATGTTGAGTAAAATATGTCGAGGATCAAAAACAAATCCTATTTTAGGTTTGTCAGGAACATTTTGGTATAGTAAATGGCAATGTCATCATAATACCCATATGTTACCAATAAATTAAAATTATCAAAACTAAATTGTTTCAAAATAATCAAAATGGAAGAAAAATCCTCTCCAACCCTCCCAAAAAACTCTTCCAATTGATATAATTTTGGATTCATCATAAAATTGCCAAACACCGTAAACATATTTTTTAAAAAAAAACATCGATTATATCGAAACAATGAAGATTACAGAGTCCACCAAAGAAAAATGTGCTAAAGAGAAGTCACAAATGCCAGTGATACTAATCCTACTAATGCTCCGTAGACGTACAATACAAACGGCAAGTAAACATTTTGAACACACTTTATAAAACACATTAATGCAGCATCGCATAATATTATCATTATGATACTACTTTTAGTAAATTATACATCATACAACTTCTAGATTATAATATAATATTTAACTTAAATGAAAAATATAATAATAACAATTTATTATAATTATAATATGTTATATATAATAAGCTTTATCTAAAGATGTATAACTGTAATTATTAGTGTATAATGTTTAACACAATATATCATAATAATAATAGATCTATTTGTTTTTCTAATAATTGATTAACAATATATTAAATTAACTTTACGCTATGCACGACAAATACGTAAATTTAGTGCTCTGAAAAAACTTTTCTTCGAATTTTAACAATAATAATTTTTAATTTTTTTAAATTTCGATAAGGTGCATTTATTATTACAACGTTTTATAAATACTTTAGTACTTATTGCAATATTATTTCAGATGTCTGAATTTAATATTTCATATTATTTAATAAGTAATTACTTAAGATTAGGAAATTTTAATTTAATTTAATGTATACAATACACACCATTAAACGTGTTTATTTTTCCCCTTCTTGAAAATTATACTAGCATGATGATTGATGGTATCCCTAAAGAAAGTATAACCGACCGAGATGTAATTTTCGAAGAACACGAAGACAACCCGGAGGTAAAATAATACATATACTTACCTATATAATTATATATAAGCATAATTGATTAATTTGTAATTAATTATCTAAGATTAGTATAAGAGTTTATCCATCACGTTTATAGTAATCTCACGTTCTAAAACTGAGACATCGATATAAATATATAATGATATATTATATAACAATAAAAATACAATATAATTAAAGTAAGGGAGAAAAAACATCATTTAACCTAAAGTATAGTCTTAATTTATCAATATTACCTAGTAGCGATTTTCGATGGAAAAAAGAATTCACAATTCAAACTATTCAAAAATTTGTTTTAAACGAGCAAAATATAATAATATAAGTACTCTCTTTCTCTCTTTCAGCCCTAAAATTAGTTTTGCAGTTTCCTGAATTCTCTAAACTTTTGTCCATCAGCAACTAACCTCTTCAGTTCTCTGTAGTTTGTCAGTCCCACGTCAGAAATCATCTTTATGATATAAAAAATTGATAATAATTGAGATCATCCTCGTCCTTTGTTTTCTTTTACTATTTATTCTCCTTTCTATTATACATATTTAGAAACTCATATGTGTGTCTCTAAGCGCGTCCTAACATATAGCAACGCTAAACTCGAATAACAATTATTAAATCCTTACATTTAAAATTACAACATTGTTTTATGATTTTTGCAATTTAATTCATATATTTGTGATGATTAATTTTATACCTATACAACACAACACAATTTCAGGAAAATAAAACTCCCTTACTGGTAACTCAAACACATTTTGAATGTTATTATGATAGAATACAAAATCGATGTATGACAATAATTGATGCCTGTAAATTTAGTAAATACATCACCTACTAATATATTTATAAAATTATTTTTATTAAAACAAGTATTTATCACAAGTCTTTTTCTTAAAAAATACAAATAAGTACTAAACAATTTTTTTTTTTAATAAAAAATAAGTACATTTGGTGATTTTTTTTTCCATCGCTGAAATATTTGTATAGGTGCCATTATCTATAATCTTTTCACTCGTGCGATTAATTTATTATTTTAATCCGCATCGGAACCTTATTTTCAATTGTTGTTTTCAATAGATTCGAATACGCAGGACGTTCGCAAGAGATCGATTAAATGCAAAAATCTATTATCGCAACCCTTTATTGTGTAATATATATATACATTGAATATTTTATAATAATAACTCAAATGAACCGAAATCTATAAAAAAAAAAACTGCATTGTCGCAAATGTGATTTATTTTATATAGACAATTAAGTACAAAACAGTCGTATCGCACAGAATTAAAGCTCACCACCTCATTCAAAATGCAATCCCTAGACTAATAATATACAATACAATAATTAGTTCAATATTAATTTTTATTTTTCCATATTTCATTAACTTCAAAGTAGGAAACAAGTAAAATTAGAACATTATTTAACGATGTGTGTTTTAAAACCAAACAGATTTCAATAATATCAATCTAAGAATTGATATGTAGTACTCTTATAAACTACAGTTAATTATGTATTACGAAGTGTCTAGTGTTTTGGTTTTTAAAATTAAAACTTGTTTCAAAATAATTAGGTTAATTACTCATCTCTTATAATGTATTTATCTTGCACATCTTATAAAACGAAATTCTTATTTAAATGTCAGGAATGTTTCAATGTTATTTCACTTCCTACAAAATGTTTCCATTATTCAAAATAAACAGAATAGCTGGTCACCAAATATATCCAAATAATACAATAACTTGTTTTCTATATTATAGAGGCGAGGGCTGTACTTTAATATTAATTTTATAAAATTCTTTCTAAAAATTTTAAAGTAATGCGTATAAATTTTGTTGTTGATAATATTCAATTATAGGTAAGAATCGATAATTTTTCAAACTCTTAAAAATTAATATTTTACTATGATAAAGCTGGTTTTCTTTTTTATTGGGTCAAACTCAAAAAATTATTTAAGGTAATTACAATACATAATGTAGCTTGAGACTCGAGTTTGTACCTTGATGTATACTCGTATGTACATTGTATATAATTAAAAGTTGTTAAAGGGTGAATACTTAAAAATTCAATATTAAAAATTGTTCAAATATTGCGTATTTCTGATTTTTCTTAAAATTTAAAAATCGATTTTTTTTACAAAAGCTTGTGGAAAAAAAACCTAAATAATTTGTTTTAATGATAATAATACCTGTTATATAATTTCATGTCTATACATTTGATATAATACAGACGGTTACGGTAAGAATAGCTGAAATCGAAGTAATATCAGAATACCCAGGGAAGGAACGTGTATCGTTAAGTGTCGAGCCAAAAATAGTCGATTTGAATTGGTACACACTGAAGTAAGCAATACAATACACTACAATAATATTAAGATGATCATAGGTAAACCAAAATTTACAAATATAAAAATAGGCTAGATATTTATGTTTCCTAAAAATCTTTAAATATATCCATACATAAATATGCCCTTAAATACGCTCTACAAAAATAACAACAATTATGATAAAAAAACTTGTAAAAAATGTCTACATGAAATGTTTACATAATCTTTAAATGTGATCTGAAAATGTACGAAATACTAAAATATGTTATAAATATTAAACAATATATGCAATATAAACAATCAAATTATTATACAATATTTTGTACATAGATTACATCATGAAACATTTTGAAATAAATTAATTGTAATTACTATTTTTTTGGGCCAACCAATAAAAATATATTAAACCATTTAATATCTATCATATTTTATCATATTTTATATCCTTTTTTAGCAACAATAAATTATTGCTTACAAAAAACCGATTTTGAGCGGAGTTCATTGATAGTGATGCTTTGTCAACAATATATATTTATCATTTTATAATAAAATAATTAAATAGGCTTTATGTATTTTCTTTAATAATATTTGTTTATTTTTGTATTGATTTTCCCAATTGTTCTATGTTTTATCCCGGTTTTTCACATTTGCTGGGAAAACTCCTGAGAAAATCAAAAAATGAACTCTTTAAAGTACCTCTCTAGTGAAATTTCTTTTCAGAAATCATTGCTATCATTAAAAGTTATAGCGAAATCGCAAGTTGACAAATTGTGCACAGGAAAAAAAATTATATATACTTCATACATTTTCCCGTATTTTTTCGGCATTTCAAATATTATGAGAAAACTCTGAGAAAATCGAAAAATGACCTCTTAAAAGTACTTCCTCATACCTTTCAGAAAAGGTGCTATACTTACTATACTTAGAAATCCGAGCAAAAAGGTAAAGAGGTGGAAAAGTTGTTAATAGTTGTTAAAAATAAAAATAAAAATAAACATCTTTGTAAAACCATAAGCTACTTCGCTTTACTCAGAATCCAAAATGCCAAAATATGCAAAATGAAATTTTTTAATACATAGAATTATTAGGTCATAAACCAATAAAAATTGTTTCGTTACTTAATAAACCGTTGGTGAAGAACCGACATGTGCGTACAAGAGACCGTGAAGTTTGTAAACAATGGAACGCGTCCCGTGTACGTGTCGTGGATTCCCGACTTCACAGGTCACCTGCAGCAGCTGCACACGTCCGTAACAGTGAACCCCGAATCGATTGAAGTTGTCAAAACGGCTAGAGTCCACGTGCGGGTAGAACCCGATCGTCCAGGTCGATTGCGAAAAACGCTTAAGTTCAAGATCGAGAACCACGATGGCGACACAGGCGAAACGGAAGTGTATGTGCGTGGGGTAGTAGAACGAATACCGGACGTACGTTTCCGGGAAGTGGCGGTAAAAACTATGGTAAACATATGCACCGGAACGCCGGTGACATACGACGTCGAATTTAGAGTGCGATCGGACCGTGTGTTTGATGTCCAAAGACAACTTTTCGACTTTTCCGCACACTCTGAAACTCCTTACGGTGAAGTAGAGTCGTACGGACCGTACGGCAACAACGACGGAAATGAGATTCTAATGACGTTAAACTTTCAAATACCAATTAACACAGAAGTAAGAAATCCATCTTCCTCCCCTCTCTCCCCCAAAAAAAAAAAAAAAATACACGCATCTTAAATTTGAATCTATACATATAACTTTATTACTAATAATAACATATATATTATATCGTGTAAACAATTTTCTCGACATTTTTAGAAAGATGAAATTTTATCAACTAAAATTTCAGCAAAATGTATTTTAAATTAACTTTTAAAAGTGGTCCCATATCAGTATTATAAGTATTTATTTTTGCGCAATGTGAGTTCTCGTTTTTCTATGGTGAAAATTTAATTTGTTCAATTTAATCTACAGCCCAAATTTTATTTTCTGTGAAAACCAGTTTAAAGTCAAATTACAGACAGTAGCACGCCCTTTTAAAAAGTAGGTATAAGTCTTAAGGTATAAGTATCAGCCAAATCAGAAATAATAATATTAATGAACATACTTACCAATATTAGTAACTAATTGAAACATGAATAAGTATCATTGCTTTTCGCGGAATAATTAAGAAAAAAAAACCTTTTGTTTATCGATTATATTTTTATGGAAATTTAAAGAAATAAAATATGATATGCAGTTTGACCCCGTTTATTTGACAATAGAGTTGTATATTATTAATATGGTACTGTCCGGATAAAATATTATCGTAAAGCGTGAAAATATAATTTAACAATTCAAAATACAAAAAAAAAAGAGAGAAAAAAATTTGAAGTAAAGAAAATGTATCATATACAAAAATATAACAACTTAATTTATTTAACAATGCGACACCGACTTAGGTATACGTAATTTATTAAAAATATATGTTTACTGAGTACCAATCCATGAGGAGAAAAGTGGGAATATTGTATTAAAGAAATATTTTTATCACCTTCATCCCTAAAACATTTATCAAAACCCACCTCTTCTATGTATTAAACTATTCGGAAGAAATTTATTTTTATATTTTAACAAAATATCTTCGAAATAGATGGAAATTTTTTTTTTAAAAAAAAAAAGCCATAATACCATAATACTCATTTCGATCATTTCGACATTTTAACACTTGCCTTGTACGCATGCGCAATTAAACTTCCAGTTTTTTTAATGAAATTACTTATTATATATAATAATCAATTCAAATTTTTTTTTCAATCAATATAATTTTATTTTACTTTAAAAATTGCCAGAGATTTATGATTTCTTTCACTTTTTTTCCAAAAAAAACTTCAGCAGTCATATTTTTTCACTACTAATGTCTTGCGTTAAATATGAGTTTGCATTATTCAATGTTGCTTGAAAAAAAATAAGACTACCTATTCGAATCTGATACAAAAAAAAACCTGTAAAAAATATGTGAATTTTATTGCGAATTCATGCTCAGCAAGGGTTAACATTTTGAAAATGATTCTCAAAATGTGTATGTTTTGACACTCCCGATTATTTTTCAATCCGAATCCCTAAGTATGACACTGTGCCCACACACATTCTCATAGATAAACACGGGTGAGTTCATAATAGAACGACAGGCCAATACCGTATGCGGACCCGAAACAATATTATACGTAACTGACCAAATAATCAAATCCGGCTCGGAGAATTAACCTAATGCTGTGAAAGTATTGACTTTTATAATATGATAGGTACTCAGGGGCACAACTCAGACCTAAAAACACTAACTATAAAATAATATTGTCGTTGTACGTTCTCTCACGCACAAGCCAATGAGTAAAAAAAGTAGATAGATTAACTTCAGGAAATATAAAAAATGTCACGGGCGAAAGAGAATAGTTAGCAGCGACTATACAGACAACGGGTTGCGGATTCCATCCCGAGCATATATAACGTCACCTGAATCATCTTTAAGTTAGACGAGTCCAGCACGATCTGTTGCGAGCACCTTCACGTCACTCTACTTTACGTATTTTTGAGCCTATATTTTATTTGTAAACTAATTAGACTTAAAATATTATTCATAATTTAATTTATTAATTAGATGTAGGATAATTTTATGAAGAATATTTATTGGACATTTATTTTATGTAAAATATTAATTATCAATCGAACTCAAGTTGTGAGTTAATATTTCAAATTCTTTTCACATCGTTAATTACGTTGGTACATTACAAAACATTGCTGGATTACTATTTGATTGAAACACATTGTATAATATACACTTATACACTATTAAGTATGCACAAAGTTAAAATAATTGACGGCCTGCGCATTATTGCTGCATTGTAATTAAATATCTCGGAATATAATATTTTAATATTAAACCTCTACAATACTTACGAGAGTACAGGCGCCAGAGAGAAGTGACTGCCAGAGGTTTAATTATAATTTACACCAAGAGGCGGTTCTTTATTATTAATTCTTAATTGCTAAAGAGTAGGCGGCAGGCAGGTACACAGCGAGCTTTATTATAGGTGTGCAAATGTTATTTTCTACGCGATGATAATAATATAATATCTGTCAACCTTTAGAAGACCGGAATCTCGTGTCAATTAGCCGAATGGTCATTCGCGGCGGCAGGGTCAAAGACGGTTTGCTATACCCAGGCCGTGGCTTACGTGAAACTGCCGGACGTACGTTTGAACGTTAACGCCATTACCATCGCTAAGCCCCTGTACAAAGGCATATCTCACCGTCAAGACGGAATTCGGTTGATCAATAATACAAATTGCGATTTCGTCTACTCCTGGGGAAATCCCACGGGAGCCGACGCTAATAACATGGATTGTGTGTTTAAGCCGTCTAATGGCACGGTTAATGGAAATTCGTCCGTCGAATTCGAACTTATCATGACCCCGATGACGTGTGTAAGCATATCACTTATACGACGCCATCGTATAAACTGCAACAGTGCAGTATTTATCTCCGTTTTCGTAGTTTTACACGATCAACAAAAAACATTTTTGAATATAACACGTATACAATATATAAATGGTATTATCATTTTCATAGTTTTGATTAATTGCTAAGTAACATAATGACATAATAAAATTGCTAAATGACCTAATGTAAATATGACGTTCAAAATAGCTTAGTCAAATAATTATTACATGACTTCACTGTATTCCTTTATACCAAATAAAAAGTACATCATAGTGATATTCCAATTTTTAGTATAACGGTTAAAATATGTATACACTTATAGATAAAAAAAATTTTAAAAAAGAATTACATAAACATTAACCAAAAAAACAAAAAAATAATAAAAAAAAGTCCTCGAGCCCTCTTCCGTGGGACCAGACATATAAAACAAACAATATATTTCACTCTATAGCAAAATATTATCGTTTAAAGCTTAACGATTATTATATTACATTTTAATTATGTCCTGCAGGGCCATTTAAACCAATACCTAGTACCGTGTTTTATGCAAAGCGACGAACTCAAACCACAACAGATTACGATTGAATGTCTGGTGAAGGATTTCATGGCCACGATAACGTACGTCGACGCTTTCGGTGAAAAAGAGACCATCGTGTGTCAAAATAAGTATGCCCATATACCAATATTGGTTTTTGTAACCAACTATACCTGCACGTAAAGAAAAAAAAAATCTATTCCAATGATTCGTTTATCATCTCATTACACAGATATAAAGATAAAAAAAAAGTTCTGTCAGTTTATCATACAATATTGACAAATATAATTATATTTTATCGGTTATGTAATAATCATAAGAATAAGATTATAGTTTAAAAAAATAAAATCCCCTTTTCTTTTAATTAAAACTTTAAATTAAGCTTATTAATATAGAAAGTTTTCGGATACAACACAATCGACCCCTCGAATATATTTATAAACATCAATACCGCTTGAAATTTAACAAAGTTTGTCATAATTTAACTTAAGCAGTATTTCAAAAATGATTTAATTAATAAATCAGCTACATAATAATAATAATAAATCGATGCTTCACTTCGTGATTAAAAATAAAAATATGTTCTGTATAATTTTCCGTTTAAAAAGTTTGCCATGTTAAATTTCAAGTTTTTTAATTAATTGTATTTTTTTATTTATTTTTAGTACAACCAAATCAAATATTATACGACAATATTTCAGACTTTTTTTTTTTGATAAAATATTTTCCTCGACATCGTACAATATAATTTGTGTTAAGAATGACCAGTTTACGATTAATAATTAATTTAATTAATAATAATATTTAATATTCGGCTAGATTAATTTATTTTAAATATATCAATTTAGTTATTAGACTTATATTCAAAGCTATGCAATAACTAGTAAACAATTTAAGTTATAAGTTACTTTTTTTAAAAAACTTATAATTTACCTTACATATTTAAAAAAATAGAATGTTTGGAAATAACATAGTCATACTAAGTTATTATGTTAAAATTTAAGTTTTTTACGAATTTAACTAAAATTGCATATTTGTACGTGAATATTATCACATAATAAGATGACCTTTCAGCCTATGCATGAGAAATATGAAGTTAATCTATGAAAGTCTAAATATTAGGGTACAAATTATGTTTTTAGGTGTACCAGGTGATCCATTTAAGTCGATACACTCATTAGTCTCTCACTCTATACACTCTAGAACATTTAAAAAAAGCAGCTCTACAATTTTATATTTATGTTACTTCTTTGTAACTCTTAATTTTGGTGGTAAAACCACTATCTACTTTTGATTTTAAAAATGGCAATCTATATTTAAAATTTCATACATTTTTTCATTCTTTCGTCTATTTCATAAATAGATGAAGTATTAGTTAAAATAAATTTGAGTGTTGAAATTTTTAATTTCCGTCGATCCGTTGACGAGGCATTTCAATTTTAATTTTGTGTTAGAGGAAAGTAGTGGAGTATCATTTATGTGGCACTACGGCGCATGGCATGTTAATAATACATCACTACTCTCCTCCAATCTAAACTTAAAAGTGGAATCAACGACTTTACAGAAATCAAAAATGTCAACACTTAAATTTATTTGTTTATTTATTTATGAAATTTTTAATATAGGTTGCCATTTGAAAACCAAAAAAAGGTAGTGGTTTTACCACCTAAAATAAGGGTAACAAAAAATAATATAAATACAAAATTGTAGATGAGCAGCTTATTTCTTAAATGTCCTTTTTTTTTAGAATTACGTAACTTAAATAATTTTTAAAAAATGTTGAACTTACTCAGCTTTGTTTTATTTTAGTATTAAAATTATATTGTTTGCTATATAAAAATAACCTTCTTGATGTTATAGTTCATTTGTTATTAACTCCCCCAACTATATATTATATTATGTTTCATATATACCTAGTCAAAATCAATGTATATTCAATAACGGAACGAATAATTTGGATGAAATCGATGAATTGGAAAACGATTATATAGACGAAAATCAAATATCAACTAAAAATTCAGTAAATAGTTTTAATACAACGGAATATTCACAAGAATCATTCGAAACAAAGTAGAGTATAAATTGTTTGAGTATTATTTAATATAATATGTAACTTTAAACGAGGCACAACGTTTAAAATAATACACAGCATTAGATAATAAAAGCTAAATTTTATAATTTCTATACATTTCGAAATTATATTTATTGCTGCAGGAAAAAACCTAAAGAAATTGGTTTTTTAAAAAAAATTTAAATATTATGTACCGTTGTAAATTTATTTATCTTATTACTTTTATATATACTTCTATCGTGGCTCCCTCTGAAGTGATTAAGCTAAAATTCGATGACTAGACTTGTTTAATAAGATTTAAATGAATTTAAAAAGTTAAATAAAATATAATTATGAATTTATCTATGCACTGTTGCGAGAGCAGATGTTATTTAGATTTTGAGTGGATCAAAAAAGCTTATGGTTTAACAGTGAGGTTCATCATTATTTTTTTTTTTTTTTTTGTGGACAACTTTTCTACCATACATTTTACTCTGATTTACAAAAAAACCAATTTTTCTAAAAAAAAAAATAAAGAGGTTATTTTTTGATTTTCGTAAAAGTTTTCCTAATAAACAGGAAAAACCGGGGAAAAACATGAGAAAAAACTTAGGAAAAATGGGAAAATACGTACAATATTAAATAAAAATTATTAAAGAAAATATAAAATGCATATTTTATATAATAATCATTTTACCATAATATGACATATACATTGTTGAAAAAGCAACATTATAGACTGATCTCCGCTCAAAATCGTTTTTTCGTTAGCAGTAGTTATCGTTACTTACAGACGTACATTAAATTTCCCCTCTACTAACTTCCCAACTTCTTACCTACAACAGTAGCCCACCCACGAACGAAGTATGTTCATTTGTTTTTTGAAATCTATATTGATACTAAATCTAAGTACACTTTTACTACTTTCAGCTTTTATACTAGATAATTAATTTTCAAAATTAAATTGTATTTTTATCTATATAGGTAACAAATTACTGATTATTTATCTTTAACTCAATTGATATGAATTTTTTTTTCATCTTGATAACTGTTCTATTAATTATCTCTTATGTGTATCTAGATATTTTAAAAAAATCGTTTACATTATTGATTTCTGTATAGAAGTATCAGGGCCCTCAATATATAAATTAAAACTGATTTAATTTTTATAAAGGATTTTTGAGATTTTTGAACCATTTACGATAACAATTTGCTATAGTAAATTTATAACAATTTTTAAACAATCACGAACAGGACTCTTAGCCATTTAGAATTATACATTCATTGAAAACTACACAAATATTAACTTAAAGCCTTTTTTCTTAGGACGAACGATATATTATTATTATTATATTTTATTGTTATTATTCAACTTAATCTTCTAAATTATTTAAGTAGTGTTTGACCGTTTTCTGCGGTAATCATAATGAGCAAGTCATTAATTTAATAAATATATGGTATATTTAACTAATGCATATTAATTATTACAACGATTTAACATAGGAAAGTTTTTTATTTATACGTTTATAACGCGATATTTTGTATAAAATATAATCTATATATTTCTAACAATAATACTTAACAAGAATTATAACGTGCGCTGGATGATAGTAAGCGTGAAACTTTTTGGCTCGTCGATAGTAGGTACCTTAGGTACTTTACCTATATACATATATTATATATACTATAAAATAGCTAACAGAAAACCTGTAAATTAACCGGATGCTCTATATTGGAAAATGCAGGCCAGAAAACCTACAGGAACTAGCCAAATGGCATTTAGCAAAACAGCCGATACATGACACACGATTATTATGGTTACCAGGGATGGCGATCCAGCAGAAATTTGGACCACTGTCGAACTACGACTCCTTGCACCTTCATCCCGCAATGGCATTCAAAAACACCGAATGCAATACAGGCAATAATAACTAGGGAAATTAATCTCAAATAATATCAGTGACATATTTTCTAAGAAATGTGTAAAATAATAGGTTTTTTTTTTTGGATGATTATATGTATATTTATATATATGTGTATGTCTATATATAGCAATGAAACAGTGTATAACCGTCCGAAACACTACGGAAATTCCGTGCCACGTCAAGTCAAAAGTTCATAATCATTATGATGGAAACGAATTTTCGACTACGTCAACAAACCGAGCAGGAAGTAAGGACGAAAAAAGTATTATAATAGTGAAATAAATGCTTAATTATAATTGAGCATAACTAGTAATTGGTACAACCTAATACTTCGATAGATTTAGAACTATGTGTTGGGTTACAAAAAAAAAAGTAATCGTTTTTCAAAATATTGGATTAGTTTTTCAGAATAGATGTATTCGGTCATGAATAAAATGTGTCCATCTTCATTCTTCTTCAAAGGCTTATAGCGGTACGTTTAGGACCATCGTCGCTTCAAACACGCCCTTGCATCTCTGTCTATTCAAATTCACTCCCATCTCTTTCGAATTCTGATTCTTAGTCTTTTTCTCGAAAGCTTATTTTCGGTGACTTTCTTAATGAGTGAGCCCTCAAAATATGTCTTTAGTTAACCAAAACTATCCATACGTAGTATAAACTATTAGCAAGTGCCCATCAATACTTACATCCAAAAACATGCAATTATTTGACAAAACGGATATCGGTAACAATATTTTCGGTAAATCAGATTGAATCGATTCGCCAGCAGATCGATATTTTTCCCTGCCATTTACCCAGCGATTTAATAATATTATTAACCAATTCGAGACGTAAGAAGGTCACATATACAAGTATATATATAATTATAAAGTATAAAACACTACTGTCTAATATCGAAACCAGCAAAAATACATATGGGAAAAAAAATCAATATTATTATAAACTTCTAAATATAATAAGTCCCTTTCTAATCGTTATAGACTATATTAACTATTATATATTTGATCATTTATTTTAGCAATAATGAATGCTTAAGAAAATTACTGGAAAAATTGAAAAATTATCTATTTAAAATCTAAAATATTCTTTTATAATTTTATAAAAACGCTATTAAACTCGTCATTTCTTTTTTTGGTTTAATAGTTTAATAATAATATTTATTTATACAGAGTAAAATAACTTTATTTTTTTTACTTTTAAAAATTTTCAAAATAGTTATTATACAGAAAATATGTTATTTTAAAAATTTAAATGTATATCATATATTAATATCCGATTAATAGTTTCTTAGTTTAGTGGGTTTAATATACTATAGAAAATAGGCGTGGAAACAATTAATATTCAATATAAAATAAAAATAATCGTAATGATTGTTATTCCTTATAGCGTAACGTGGTATTCTATTAAAAATTAATTGTTTTACACCACTTTTCTAGAAATTAAAACGGTTATTAATGAAACACTATTGATCAAATATAGTATAGTACATTGAAATTTTTAGAATAATATATTATACAAATTGGCTATTTTGAAAATTGTAAAAACTAAAAAAATAATGTTATTTTTTTCAGTGATTAAAGGATAAAACAAATATGTAATTTTTCTCTACGTTTGTGTCCTCCTAAAACAGAACCCGATTAAAAAAAAGAAATTGTTTTAAAAATGAATATTGACATAGTTATTAGTATTCAGATAATTAACACTGTATACCCTGTATATTATTGTATATTATTTTTAATTTGAAAAATAAATAAATTTTTAAAAAACTGAGTATCTTTTTACCACACAACTTGTAATGATAGTACACTAGTAGTAAAATAAACTTTTATTAATTTATCTAATATTGAAACTTCAACGTATAACAATAAATTGTAGGTATTGACAAAACGAATCTATTAAATATCGCTAATGAGTATAATAATATTTAATGATAAAAAAAGTCATAGTATTCATAGTAAAACCAAAAAAAAATTAATTAAATTCGTAACCAAATTAATTTTTATATTTTAAAATCGTAAGACATTTTTAAACTACCGTGAAAATATATTTACCATATTTATATTATATGTATATTTTACTATTTTATGCATACATTATATAATTATATTTGTGTATGGTAAAAACAAAAAGTCAACATTACGTAACTTGCCCACTAGAAAAATTGAAATAAGTCATGCCAAGTATACTAACAAGGGTAATAATTATTGAGTTTTGTGTTTTGTGTGGGTGTGTACTATTATGTAGAAAATTAACAATTACATGAAGCTCCAAAAACTCATTAATTCCACGGTGTGCTCTTTGATAATACGCACAAAACAATAAATATCTTAACGGTTGCTGATGCTGCTGTGTATGGAAATATAATTTAGGAAATATGTTTAATGATAACAAATAATACTATCTTATAAAACGTCATCTATATCAATTCTATTATACCATTTTATAGTACAATTAGTACCTATACATGATTGGTAGTTTTTAAATTCTAAGGTCAGTAAGAAATTTTTAGTTTTCAGTACGATATGTGTATTTTTAGGTTTTATGCTCATCGAGGAATATTATGGTTTCACTGTATTTTACTTTTTGTTTCTGTAAACCAGTTTTTTACTAGAAATCTTAATCCGATCAAAAAAGTTATGGGAACTTTCTTGTTGCATATATATGTATCGCATAGTTGGTGCTATAAGAACGTCATTTTTTTGAATAAATGAGAAAAACTAGAAATCCTTTGTATAATTTTCATTGTTCTGATAACATGGCAAAACATAAAAAATACTATTACCTAATACTATTAACTCTACTCTAATCTCTTCATGAGCAATGGTTTATCTTTGCGTTACGATTATAAAATAAATTGCTCTATAATATATCCTTATTTTCAACTTTCCTCCTAAAGCAGTGATATATCTATCAATACTATCAGCAATTTTATCATATATGTGTGTGTATCCGGTGACAACTTTTCTACCAGAAATTGTGTATTAATCTTCAAGTATAGCATTCTTTTTATTTTAAAATTATATTTATTTTTATATGTTAAAAAAACTGAATTAATCAATACTTTTATAACATTATAGGCCTACTTAATAATATTACCCTAATAAATCATCGAATTAAGGAAACTTTTCAAAAAAAATATTATGCATATTGTTATTATAATAAAAACTATATAATAGGTATGTTGTATTATTATGACGCGTTTTTTCTTTAATCTAATAGAATGTGATATGAAAAAACATTTTAATTTAATTTTAATAACGTTGAAAATATTAATCCTATTAACGATATAATACTACATTGTCTCTTTTTTTTTTTTAAATAAATGTGTATAGTTCTCAGAACTATGTATAAATATTTTAATACGACGTTACATGACATAACTTATTACGATTTACGATTGTATTATATAATATAAATAATCATATTAATAAAATTTAAAAAAAAATCATTTTCAAAAATAGGCATTCTTAAGCGATGTCGTTCAAACTTTAATTACACACACGCTTTAAAAATATATATTTTTTAAGAATAATTAATAAGAGTTAAAAACAACACTAGGCATACAAATACTATTTTCTACACAACACCCTCTCAAATTATTCAACTAGCCTCTGGCTAGTATGTTAATATCACTTGGTAATTCTGCTAAACTAGATATTTTTGTCTTATAATATTAACAGTGTTAAACAAATATTTAACAAAATGTAATTTTATAATATTATTACTTTTCTCCCTTTTCCATTATTTGTATTAATTATTCTTTATATACTTATATATTATATACATTTAAGTGATATATATCAACTATCAAATGTTGCGTTTTTATACTCTATACACCTATTTTTATGCTTACACCTATATTTAGTATTTTTGTCTATACTCATTAAACTGTTATTTTATGTTACACAATTTTGTAAATGGAATATTTTTTTTTCCCGTACAATAAATAAATTGTTGTTTTCAACATAATTTCTTATAATAAAAATACTATACTCAAAATTTCAAAAAAAAAAAAAAAAAATTGCAAGGTTTGTTTTATGTACACTGATTTGTATTCGATTTTCTATGATCCTATTCCTCGTAGTTTTTGAGACTACGGGCAACAATTTTTACAAAATGGTTTTTCGTTAGGAATGATCTATCTTTGCGTACAAATATAAATTAAAAAACTTAATGTACCCTACCTTCTCAACTTCCTACCTAAAACAATGGCGCGCCGATCAGCAGTGTCAACTGTTTTATTTTTATACTTTTGTTCATATATAGTTTTAAGAGTAATAGAATAAAGATATGTGTACACAATTTTCAGTTTTCTCTTTCGGAATTTACCGAAAGTAATATGCTTTAAAATATCAACGTACGAATTTAAAATCAAATAAATCATATTTATCATTCTAAATTTATATTTATTTATATTTATTGTATTTTTTAAAAGCACATTACATTATATTATGTGGAATTGTAAAAAAAATTGCAATAATAATAATATAAAATATAATGCAGAAAAATAATTCATTTTGAGTTATACTACATAATATATGTATTCAGTCTGTCGATATTAACAAAATTTAGGATTATTTACAATATAAGTGTATACTGAATACCTATGGTTATTTTATTGTACATCACGATAATTACGATAATCGCATATAATACCTTACTATAGATAGTTATGTACGTGCTTATAATACGTAATATTTCACGTTTACGTAAAATAATGATAATGTATACCTAATATAATACCTAGTCAAAATTAACATAAATACAGATAACATGAATAAATACAATTAAACCAACAGGCAACACCGTAGAGGTAACGATAAAGGTAGTTAGAGATGAAAATATTATAAATCAAAAAGTTATTTAATGTGACCTAGGTGCAAATAAAATAATAAAATTATGATCGTTATTCCGTATACATTTTCATAAGTGTATTTTACCAGCATTAGATACCTACCTAAGTATCTAATAATATAGGACATAGGTTATAAAAATTTAACAACACTGAAGATAACAATAATAATTAGATACCTACTTAAGACAGTATCGAACATTGAAATCGAGGTGATTTTTGATAAAGATTTCAATATTTTGTTACGTTAAAATAATCAGTGATAATCGCGACGTATTAAACGACGTGGGCAAACAGATAAGACTAAATAAATTAGCATTTTTTTTATTTGATCATGTGTTTTTACACCTAAATTCTAAATAGCATAAGTCTTAAAATTATATATATATATATATTAATGATAAGTATTCATTAAAAATTGTATTTGGCTTTATTTATAAACAAAGATATCGAGAATCGAGTATTGTGTATACACAATTTTCTAATTGTTTGGTATAAATGTCTAAATAATAATAACGATATAAAAGTTAATTTTAACGACAGCAGACTTCAAACTTGCAGATCTCAATCGTGTTTTTCATTCAATGATTCTCTTCCATATTGATTTTAAATTTGAGAAATTCAATCTCGTTAAAAAAATTCAAGGACATCGGAATCCCTATAGAAGAATATACATATAGATCATAATATTTTATAATTATTATATGCTTCTCTAATGTAATTGTATTACAATAATATACTGTTGGATTATAGATTTAGAAATAAATTTGCATCAAAAAATATGTCAGACAAAATTTCTTTTCAGAAAAGATGCTACACTTGGTACTTGATTCATCAGAACAAGATTTATTTTCGAAAAGTTGTTTACAGACAAAAAAAATCATCATAGTATTACCAATTAATTCTTCGCTACCCCTTGAATCTAAAGTCATGATTATTATATTAGTCTCATTTCTATCTTATTTGTAAAAAATGCATTCATAATATATATCTTTGGTCCCCCCAAAAAAAGGGGTTTAAGTTAATTTTAGCACTTTGTTTTTTTATAATTTGTCCTATGTAATTTGCACTCCTTTATATTTTGGTGTAATTTGTTTAATTGGGTGAATTTTCAAAATTAGTGCTTATATTGTATGAATGTATTAGTTAATATACAAGTATACTATGTATCTTCAAAATTTAATTTACTTGTAATGAAATCTGTACAAATTTGATTAAAGCTATTCTTCCTTAGGGCCAAAGATATAATAATGACAATATATTTATCTACTAACTAGCCAATAAAAGCCTAACCTACGATAGGTTCCAGTGGAGAAAGCACAGATGTATCAGACAAATGTTGTTTGATATGGATAGAGAGAAACAACGAAGTTTTGGTCGGTCCCGACGAATTTCACATTTCCGTGTGGGTGTTGGCCACTGCTTGGGGTCGGTATGAGGACATGCTGACTATTGAATTTCACGTGGAAGACGATGTTTTACCGGTTATCTATATACCACTCATTATTCAAGCCATTACGTTCCCCATAGAATTCCCTATCGCCGTAAACGTTCACCGACCGACCGTCAAGTAAGTCACAAAAATCACACAAAATAATTCGATTTTAACTAGCTACCGGAAAGAGACAAAGACTAACAATTTTCATGACTGCCAATTTTGTAAAATTTTAAAATTATTTGAACTTTTTTATAACCTTTTAAAGATAAAACTTTTCTACTAATATACACGATATACACATATTATATTATTTTTTAATTCGTTGCCTTATTATAATTATTTATTGAAGACAATATAAAAACGAATGATCATCAATTTGTCATGTTGTTAAATAATAAAAATTTTACTTCGATCAAAACTATATTGGAACAATACTTTTATTTAGCGTTTATAAATCATTTATTATTTAAGATTCAGCCTCTACTCTAACGACGCTGAATACCGTTTGCAAATCCTCAATAATAGTGCAATTCCCGTGCAAGTGTCGTGGCGCATTTACAATGAAAGTGAAAAGAAGAGACCGTTCGGAGTGGTATTCGATACTATAACACCTGACGTGCCGAATCTTTGGTCTTTCAAAATCGATCGTTACTACGGGGCACAATTTCCTCGATATTTTTCGGTAAATTAAATATTTAAGAAAAATAAAGCGCTTTATCATGATAATAATTTAATGCTCAAAAATAACTAAACAATTAAATTATACCTAAATCTGCACAGTATTTTTTTGAAAAATAATTATCATAAAATAAATCTAAATCATAAATTATTTATGATTTTAAATAATTCATACATTATATACTAATTATAATACGCAATAAATACGTAGGCCCCGGTATTTCAGAAGGTAATAATTTCAGAATTATACAAATATTGAAATGGAATATTGATTGAACAGATTTGAATTCAAACGGTATAAAGTAATCATTGTAATAATATAATACTATAGGTGTTTATTCTATTCGTATTTATTTTCCCAATACCTAATGCTTTAAATGGGTACGTTTTGAATATACAATAAAATTTGAAGTGAGTAAAGCTATAGGTAGGTATCGATATACAGTCGTGCTGTGCAGCTAGTGTTTGCTTGGAATACCTATACAACAGCAGGAAAGTACTATAAACTTAATTTAAAGTTACTTAGTAATTCCCAGTTCTCACTCTTCGAGTCGCGCTATATATATATAATATGAGTAAAACAGTAACACGTCTTATTCGCATGTTCATTTTAAGACGTAATTTATGCAGCAAATCTTTAACTTTTACAATTTTCAACACTCGGAAATCCACAATTATTTCATGTTAACCATTTCGATAAAAATGCAATAATAATAATATGTACCTTTGCATAAACATTTAAAGTACGATAATATTGAAAGCACGTCATTACAACACGCGTATAGGAGATAAAATTAGTAAACCCGATGATACCTTATGGCCGAAACTAATTTTAATTTGTTTAATGTATTCAGCTATACTATATAGTATATTCCTAATACTCATGGCTATTAAATTGACAATTTTTATTTTTATCTAAGTACTTAACCTTTTTTTTTAATTATAAATCTATTTTTAAATACTGTTGTTACAGAAATAGGTACCAATCTACATAATAACTTAATATTATGCGTGTCTAATGTGGATAATATATTATTCTATAGCAAACTATATATATTATATACCTTCACAGTTATAGGGTACTAGCTTTAACTGTTCTCATTTCTACCTTGATATACTATAATATAATACTATATTAAAAATATAATTTTTGAAGTATATTCAACGATTTTGTTAAAATTCATGCCTATTTGAGCTCCGTGTTATTAAGAAATAAGTCCTTATGGTTAGATGTCCCGGATTAACGATTCAAAAAAGTTTTCAACGTTCATTTTTAAAAATCAACTAATTAATTTAATTTGCTTTAATTTGTATCCATTAAAAATTTTACATTTAATTTATCACCATAATAATAGTTTTTAATTATATAACATTATTAACTCTTAAGTTCTGAAACAAATTCTCAGATATATCTACATGTATACAACACATCAAATTTAACTGATTAATATTGTACACAAAAATGTAAAAATTATCGAGTAAATACGATTGAACGCAATTTCATTAAAGTTGAATGTATTTATATGATCTGTAATGAAATAAATTTAATATAAAAAATTGAGAGACTACATAACACAATATTTTTATGTATTGTATATTTAATGACGCAAATTTTAAAAATAATAAAAAAACACGATAATGTTTAAAATCTACCAATAAAAATCAATTAAGATAATGTTTATATATTATATTTACATATTTTGTTCTTTGACAATGATTAAACAATATTACAACAACGCAATAATATAATATATATTATACTTTTATACATTACAATTTTGTTAAATATTCTAGATCAAGCCACTAGTTTTGAAATTGAGACCGAAAGAAAAGAGCTACGTGACGTTTTTCTTAGATCGGACAAAAGAAGAGTACATTTACCGCAACGAATACAATACAGTATATGCCAAAGCAGTCGGAACAGTTATTGCGTTAAAACCATCGGGGTTAATATCGTATATTTTATTTACAAACTTAATAATAAATAATTATTGTTTATACTACACGATAATAGAATGTACGAATATTGAATTCGAAATTAAATAAACATGTTATAATGCATTTTCTTAAGCTAAGAAAAAAGCTCTTCAAATTCTATACCTACTTTGTAATTCATCAAATGGTAACTTATTGATTGATATTCGGCTTTTATACTCGTATATAAAGATGATATATGTGTATATAGCAGTGTATCGTTCAACGTATACATGGAATTACTGATAAAATATCTAAAATTCATATTATATTATTTACTTAAAACCATCCCTCGCACAACACGAACAATCAATACATAAAATCAAAAAACAAAAAATAGTTTTGGTCTTAAAAATTTCAAATTGAACTAGTGTTGTCACAATATAATGTAACAGTATTTCGAAAATCCATCATGTCGATTTTAAATCATAGTTGTTTTACTAATATTATTTCAAAAGGAAATGTGACAATGTTTTAATAAATTTAGGCCTAAAAGCCAGATAAAACTATAGGAATTGTGTTTGACAAATTTTAATCTGAATTACAATTTTAAAAACAGATTCCGATTCTCAAGGTTCTTTATTATGATATGTTTAAAATCGAAATTAAATTATTTTATTATAGAAATTGTAAAATAATCTTATGTTTAAAAATGTATTTAAAGTATTTTGCCTTTTAAAGTTTAGCGTAGTGTAGTTATTTTTATTTTATATGCATATTTTAAGTTCAAATTTTGAAGAAAATCATAAAAATCATGACATTTCAAAACACGTTAACCGAATTTCGCTCAGAATCATATTTCATAGTCAATGATTTATCGTTGTATACATACATAAATTAAATAACTGCATTTATCCTAGTATCCTACTTTCCTCACTCCACACTTATAACAATAAAACCATCAGTAGTATCAGATTTGTTCAATTTTTGACAATAATGTATTTTATTATTATTGTATTTTAATTTTTAAACATTCAAAAATTACAAAGATGTATAAATTTACTGGAACAATAATTTGTGTGATCGTAAAAATGTTGTAAATATATGTACATGATAAAGACCGAATGGGACATCAACAACTGAGGCCTCTATATTTTTGATGTCCTGAACTGATAACAAAATGGCACTGTTTATTTACATTTTTGTATACGATCACTATACAGTAAAAAAAAGTAATAACACGTTTTGTATTATTATAAATGCTATGGATCATTATTATAGTTTTCATTAATAAGCTGACGCCATGTCCCATCCGTGTTTTTATCATTTACGTGTAAATAATATTGTTTCAGTGCAAAATAATAAGTATAGAATGCATCGTGTATGCTTATATTAGTACTGTAAAAATTACATGCAAACAATTTTAAAATTCTATTAATTATTTAACAGAAATTACTGTACTAGAGAAGATGGATTTAAACTGAAACCGGCTATCGTGGAACTTAACTCGGAAACGAGACATTCAATATATCCGAAATTAATATTACGAGAAACGGATAATGTTTTCAAAGTATTAAAATATGCCACGTGTCATACTGCACATTTCTTTTTTCCCGAGCAAAATATCGCTACAGTAAATTATTATATGACTAATCATTGTTATGTATATATTTTTTTTTTTTTTAGGTTTCAGCGAGCCAAATTTATATTTCCGGGCCTCCGTTTCATATCACGATAACTCGGATATTTACTATGATTAATCTTCTACAGTATCCCACAGTTATTTCATTATATATTGATAAACCATTCACCATAAAATCCTTGACTTCAATAAGATACGGTAACTGCCCCAGAAATTCTAATCTTTGTGTCTTTTACGAAGATTTAATTAAAGTAAGTATATTATACTATTACTATTCGTCAAATACTCATTAAATAATATCTTTATTTTCTTCTTTTATCAAATTTTGTCTGAGGATGAAATCAATTACACTGTAATGATGTGTCTATATATTTTTATCTATTTTTATTTATGTTTATATATTTTTAATGATAACTAAATGAGCTCAAACTAGGAAATAATAATTGATTTATAAAAAATACCGCTTTGGTTGAATTTCACTACGGCGTTGCATGAAAATGATGTTTTTAGCTTCAAAAAACCCTACTGCCCCAAAATTTAAGCTAGAAGGTGATATTTTAATTATACATTGGGAAAGTATCAATAGTGTACCTTTTGTTTCTTTTTTCACAAGAAATTTTGTTTTTAAATACTTCTACAAACTAAAGTTTAATACAACTTTGGTAATCATAACTATTTTTTAGATCAATTATTAAAAATATAAATTTAACTATTATAATAATGAATTATTGTAACAACAGTTTGGCTGGTTGAAAATTAAATTATAATGACAGAGCTCTGCTGTTCAGGATGTCTTTTTATTATTATTATTTTTTTTTTTTTTTTTTTTTTTTTTTTTTTGAATCAACGAATATTTATCTAAAAATGTGATAACTTCTCTAATAAAAACAAAAGAACTGATATTCGAGATGTGTGCGCCAATGTTGTAGGTGGGCAGATCGGAAGGTAGGATACATAAAGTTATTGAATTTGTACCTGTAATAAACCATTGATAAATAACTATTCAGAGCGAAGTTCGATTATACAATATATATGTCTTGAATGTTTTTATTTACGATTTTCGTCAAAATTTGATACTAAAATTCTTATTAAAAAAAAATACTACATTGCACTCATTTTTTTTTTTTTTTTTTTTTACTTCTATGTGCAACCTATAATAAACCTCCATTTAAACTGTCAAGTAAGTTCTGTTTAGTGTAAGACTATTTATAATTTAATCCACAGAGTACCCACTAAATAAAAATTACTAAAAAACTCGCAAAATTAAAATATCTATAAATAGCTCAAAAATAATTCAAATATTTTGAAAATTTTAACATGTCTAGAAAAGTTAAATATAAAAGTAAAAAATTCAAATCTACAAATATTTTTAACTGAAATACAACAAAAAAACTAAATTAAAAATAATAAACATTATTTTGTACATTTTTCCGTTATTTTTGTTTTCATTCGATTTTGCCCAACTATTAAAAGAAACTATAAGAAAATTCGAAACACAAATTACATAAAAACAACTAAATTAAAAATTCAACAAAAAAGATCTTTTTTTATTTTTCTATTGGAGCAATATTTCTGGTAAAAACCATGGTTTACAAAAATTAAAAACCATGAAATCAGTAACGCTGTAAATATTTACCGTTTTACATATTATTTTTTTTTCGTTTTTTCCAATTATTTTGAAAAACCCTCAAGAAAATGAAAAAATGATCTTTCTATATTCACCAATTACATACAATTTATTTTAGAAAAAGAATTGTTTACAGACAGAAAAACAAACATCATAAATCCTTCTAAAACCAATATATCCTTCACTATGATGTTTATTTAAAAAGATTAATTTTAAGTGTTGTTATAATTTTTGATTTTAATTTTCACTATATTTTGTATATTTATAACTATACCTAGCTGTGTTATATTTTTATTTTCTGGAATTTGAATTCGGTAAATTATAATAAAAATAAAACACAAGAAATAATTATTATTGTAGAAACATAAAAACTCCAATGCATAGAAACATGCGTTTATAGTTTCGAGTCACCAAAAGATTTATCGCCACAATATTGTTTAATTTATTATGTTATAAAACTAAAAAGAAATAAAAATTATAGTCAAAAGTTTACTCGGCAAACTTCAAGGATATTTCCTCTGAAAATGTAAAAAAAAAAATTTTACTGAAGAATTTATTCTTTCTTTTCACCTTTATTCTATACATACGCTCTTCGATATGAACCCATCCTTCTGCATTATTTTTCTCTCTCCCTTAAATGCCTATATATTCGTTACTGTTACCTCATTTATTCTATAAAATTATGTTATAATATTTTATTAAAGATTATGATTTGTGAAAAATATAATATAATTATCATATAGTTATATATCTTATCTATATAAGATATATATCTTATCAGACATGTAGATAACTATTTCAAATTAATTGTTCACATTGTTTACTTTTTACTAAACAGAGAGATATCGTATTTTGTCCTATATAGATAGAATTGCAAGTTAGTATATCGATGACAAATGTGCATAAGCCAAAAATTCCCAAAGAATCAATGTCGTTCAGGAAACACGTGCAAGTTGGACATTTATACGCTATCTGTGAAAACAGTTATTACAAACCAAAGGTATTCCTAATCTAATAATAACTTAAACTATCTAACTTATCTTAGTTTTAAGCACCTTTAAGATAATTTCAAGCAAAAATTTTAAATATAATATAATGAATTTGAACTATTAGTGTAGTTATATCTACGTCCAGATAAAAAATAACATAATTAGTACTTTTTTAATAAGAATTTTAAAATGTATACCTGTCATGAAATCTAAAGGTTCTGCAAACAATTACACTTGTAAAATACAGCCCAAATAAAATAGGTATCTATCTACTTAAAAGCTTTATGTGTATTGATCTCTATTCATATATAACTTTTTGTTACAAATCAGTATTAGCTCAACAATATAATATTTATTCAATTGTATTGAAAATTAATAATGAAAATTCTTTCCTTTAATAAAATCTTTCTGTATACATTTATTATAGTAGAATATTATACAATGCAATTTCTTATAATTATGACTTATTGTGTCCACGATTCAAATTTTATAACAACAATTTTCAAAATGTATTTTGTACGATGTACATCCAGACAACTATACTTTAGATAAATGCATACAAAAAAAAATGATTTGCCTAATTATATTGATCGTTCTAGGTATACCTACGTATAGTTTTGAAAAATATTTACTTGGTCAAATTTTACATAGATAATAAGTTTACAAAGATGTATCTACAATAAAACTCGATCCAGTCATATATGTATGATATGTATATAGGATAATACTATTTGCTGTGTCTTCCAAATTTCATGTTACAATCGAATTTTCGATGAAACAATTATTTTTTCGAAAAATAATCTGCTTAAAAACTTTTTTAAATCAAAAATTCTTTATTTAAGTAAGAGGAGAGTAATTTAGCACTATTCAAACACCGTATACTACGCCACCACACAAAAGATGCTTAATTACTTTCCTCCTACTCAAATTTTAAAGTCGAATATCTCGTCCACACGGTTACGAAAATTAAAAATGTCAACATTGAAATATATTTAAACCAAATCTTCAATAATTTATGGAATTTTTAATATAGTTTGCTAATTGAAAATCAAAATTGGGTAATGGATTTAGCATCAGACATAAGGGTGAACAAATAGGAGCAACGTAACATTTTAGAATATATTATGATTTTAAAAAGTTTTTATACAAAAAATATTTTTTATTGAAAAAATAAGTACCTATTTTATAAACAATAATTAAAGACCATGAATTACATGTACATTTAATTTATCAGTTAAATCGACCTACTATTTCATGGTAAGTACGTGGTATAATCTTTTATTTAGATGATATCCCCGTTCGAGGTGCACGTATATTTTCCAGTACTAAAACTGTCACCGAACAACATAAATTTTGGTCAAGTGGCCGTAAGGAAAACTAAAAGCATAGAGGTGATGTTATCTTCTTATCCAGGTACGCAGCACATATACCTAAACGTACTAACTCACGAGTGAAATAATAGATGTATAGATTAACTTTTATCGACCCGATTTCCACTTTGCTGGGCATCAAACCATCTATACACTCATTTCTCAACGTTATATTCTTATACCAATAGGTAATCTTTGTTTTCTTTTTTCCATCATAGGTCCTGAACGTTTCTTTATGATTGACTCCAAATACCAAGAATTTCAAATATCGCCCACAACTGGTGTAGCATCACAAAAACCGATCTTGCTAACAATCACATTTAAACCCGAGTAAGTAAATTACGAATAGGCATTTTCATAGAATTTTTTTTAAAAAAAATAATACAAATTTAATCATATAAAAGTAAGCAAAATCTATTAATAAATTTTGACTATAATAGGATTTTAGATAGGTACCTAAATATTTAAAATATAATAACTATAGAAGGATAACATTTTGGAAATATCAGTCAAATGGTTCAAAGTATTATGATATTTAATTTTTGTGTATGCGGAGTGTCAATTACATATTGTGAAATGGTAATACTGTTCGTCAGCATTAATAAATTGTTATAATAAATAGTGTCTAGGTAGTATTAAAAAAGTAGAGTAAATTATTATTATGATTATAAAAGGAGTAGAGATAATGAAGAAAAAAGTCCGTGCGGCGACGCCGCAAGGACTACGGTCTTTAGTTTTAATATAGTTTATTCATTGACTTAAGTGTTTATTTTTATTTTTATTTTGTGTCATATACGTTTAAAAGTATATTCTCGTTTTATTTTTGAGTAACTACAATATTTTCTCTTTTATTCTGAGTCCGATCTGTAACCGATTAATTTATGGTCGTTAAGGATAAAATCTAAATAATTAAGTAGTCCAATCAACTCTGAAGTACCAAACTGAAACCGGTTAATCCGTGGTCTTTTGGTTACTCCAGTTTATGTTTGAGCGATATCCTTGTTAAAGAAATATACGACATAATATATTATTATATATTGTTAATTTAAAATTCAAAACAATTTTTAATTATTTTTATTTTAATTGTTTCCTTTACGGTTATAATTATTTATAATTGCAAACAAATAACACTACCGCGTGTCTTCGGATATAATATCGAATTCAACGGATAACTAATGTCCATCATTATTCATATTATTAAAGTCAAATTTAATGACTTGTAAATATATAATACAAATTGAATCTGTCCAGGCTCGTGAACAAAGTTTTTAACATCTTCTAGAAAATGTAATTTGTTATTGACATTTCGGTACTAAAAAAGTTGACGATAAACTTAAAAGCTTTTTTCCAAATCACTTTTTTTTTCATAAGATTAAAGAAAGAGCTATTAGTCAATACAATTTTCAGTTATAAACTTGCGTTGATACTTATCTATCAAAATGCAATATTCAAAGCGAGTCAGTCACTATACATAAATTATAATAATGAGGCGGAAAATATTACCAACGACTGAATATAAATTTAATTAATGAAGTGGTACATAACGCAAACTTTCATAAACTTATCGTATTAGTAATATGGGTGGACGCATTTATTTATAACATTCATATATTATACTTATGAATTTACATGACTCACTTGTCAATTTAAAATTTAAAATTTTATATTGTTGTGAAATATATTTTTGTAGTTTTAACTGTACGAAAATATATGATTACTTTAAAGTTCAAACGAACACAAATTAATATCTGAACATATTAATTTATCTTAATATTATTATCATAACATTATGCTCATCGGAAACGTAATACTAATTGATATAGTTATATAAATTTAAGGAAAGATGAAAACTCCGTGTTGTATAAATATTGTATAAATATAGGGCCTGGATTTAAATTAAAACTTAAACACTAAAAGCTATTGAAAAATATTTCAAAAATACCTTTACGCGAAATAATGTAAAAAGAATCCAAAAATACTAACTAAAAGTTTCACTTTTAAATTAAGTATTTGTAAAAAAAAAAAAAACAAAATCGAATTATGTACTTGAAAAGCATTGTCTGAGACCAAATTCAAAACAAAAATGCAGTTTGCATTGAAATCCAGGTCCTATAATTATAATTATAGATATATTATTTTTCTATGGTTTTTATGTTTTGAATTATTTATGTTTGATTTTCAAGAACTGACAAATCGTATTCAGATAAGATCAGTATTGGTACAGCGATACCCATGGAATACATTTATCTAGAATTATCTGGATTTGGAACCAAAAATAGTTCAGAAAATAATAGTTTGTAATTAAAATGAAACAATATACATAAAGTTAATGGATAGCTGAATACGTTTTATGATCGATTTCAAATATATAAGATATTTATATTGTGAATATTCCTAACAAAAAAAAAAAATTATTTTTATTTTCACATTTTAAACTTATCTGGCTTATAAGACATGTTAGAAAGCTGTAATAAAACATCTAATTTAAAACAGCATTCAAATTCTTAACATTTAAAACCAGAATATTATTTCACTGTCTACAAAATCGTAGGTTTTTTATATTCTAAAATATAAAAATAAGAATTTATTATTTAGATAATTCCAGGTACTCACTAGCCGAAGAGTGGATATTAGAAGAAAAACCACCTATAAAACAAAATAAAACAATTATTAGACGATAATAGTTGAAATAAATTTTAAATATAACTTATGATATAACTTGCACTGAAATCAGTATCGTTCATCCAATAATTATTATCAGATTTACCTACTTTATGTAACACATTTTGGTGTCAAAATTGTTGATTTCCATCAACTTAAAAATTCAAAAAAATCAGAATTTGAATATTGCAAAATGTAACCAAAAATATGAGGTGAGCACGCTTAGTAAATCATCCTGTGTATTTCAGAAGTACACATATTAATTAATTTGCCGTGTTTCTCACATAATCTCTAGCCGCATTTTCTTCAGCCCATATTTTCCCAAACTTCCATATTTACACAATTTATCTCACCTATCAATTCTTAAACATCTCATTGTTTTCTCAACATAATTTTCTTTTATCTCTCAACACGTACTCTTATTATCAAAATCTATTTTCTTTCGTTTTTTCACTACTGCTCCTATTAGAATTCCTCTAAAAAATGTATTCTTAATCCTATCAAACATATTTACCCAACAATGGACTTTTTTAACATACTTTTAAGGTACTTTTAGCATATTTATTTCATATCTTTTGGTTTATTTTCATACAGTAAAATTTAAAATTCATACTTTGGTATTGACATAATATAACCGTAGGCGCGATTTTATATAACTTAAATAATTATATACATTCTTCATTAATAAACTACGAATTATCTACTTGAAACCGCACTAAGTAATTTTAACGGTGTGCTGTAAAATATTTTTTGTTCTGCCAACTATGCCGACCATTGCCAAAAATATTTTCGATTGTATATCATTTTTCTAATATCTATTTAAGCTAAAAATGCTATTAAGATATTTTTCATAATATATATATATATATATATAATAATGTTATTGGCTTTTATTCAACTCAATACTCGTAATAACAAACAATATGTGTAGTATAAAATCTAACGCCACGGTATGGTGTAGTGTCTGAGTTGTGAAGTCAATTTGGCCATTCATCAAACTTAAAATGAAAATTTAATGAAATTATTTTTTTGGAAGTTATCACACGTACGTAGGCAGGAATAATAATAAATAATGATAATTTGATTGATGAAAAATAATTTGTCAAATAAACCCAATGACGGGTAAGATAATAATTATTACAACTCGTCAAATTAACTAACTTTTAATACTCCGTTCCCTTTGGGATAATACCGTTAAGTGTCATTAATTCGGCTACCCCGTCCGACATAAAAATGAAAACTAAACATGTATAATTATCGTTAGTGTGCCAACCCATAATATAATCTTCGAAGGTGTAATATTTAAAAATATATATAATATACAATAGACGCATATTGTACTAATAAAGTTCCACTTGTCAAAATTTAATAAGGAAGATAATACAAATAATATAAATTATCAATCTGTTTAATTAATGGATTAAATACATTTTAAACGGTTCAATATGATTTGTTGTATAACCAAATCAGATGTTTGAATATTACAGACGAGTATTTTTTATGTAAAAATTGAATTGTAACCATTATAGATACTATATACAGTTCATATAGACTATATTTTTGTAAAGACAAATTTTATTTAATAATGAAAAATTACCTCAGTTTTAACGAGGGTTAAAACGTATAATACAGTAAAGCATAAAGCACGTGGGACGTTACACGTACGTATAAAATGTACAAAAATTACAGTATAAAAGTCTTTTTTTATGGTTACACTAAACAGCAATTATCAATATAATTGTCAATAAAATTGTAATCATTGTCAATTGATATTGATAAGCGATAACCACAGACATAATCAGCATTCTATATATCAGTAGTTATAACCATAGCTATAGACACTACATCATTGATTAAGTATCTTATACAGTCCAATTTGAAAAAACCCTTTAAAATTGGTCTTACATACATAACAATTTGCGAAACCGATTATTTCTAGATCATTAAAAATGTATATTGATTAAATGTATATATATGTATATTATTAATTTGAAATCGGAAAACAACATAACAAATCAAATGAGTATTAAATAATTTCAAATTTACCAAAAAAGACTTACTAAAAAGTAAGAAATACTAACTAAGAAGAATAAGTGTATATATAAATTGTGGAAATAATAAAATACCGAATAAAATAAATAATTAAACGAATTTATGAAACAAAAAATATGTATACTTTGTCAAAATTATATTATTTCTTTTTGATAGGGGCACTATATTATATAACGTAGTTTTTCTAATTCTATTATCATTAAAATGACCTTATCATCATTCCAATTATTTATAATTCATCGTGCATTGGTGTTAGAAATAAGGATATTTAAGTGCATTTACATCATTTTTTTTCTTAAAATTACAAATTATATACATTATTAAGTAGGTATCTAATATCTATACATAATTATATATTATACAAAATATATTCGTTAAAAATCTATATATTCTACAGTTTAAGAAAAACAACCAAATAATTTATTTTAAATTACCTTTATTTTTATAAAGGTGTATATTACATACATAGGCATACGATCAACTCCAAGAGGAATAATACATATTTATGATAAACATGGTTTTGAATAGCTAGGTACCTACCGATGATATAATGACGTATAAATCTTAAAGTATTCCCTTCTCGGATATTACCCATCAATATCTTATACTATATGTATAATATCACATTTTCTGTTTACCAATTTTATGTTCAACTTATATATACGTAAGTATATATTATATTATAATATTATTATATGCAAGCTTTACGAGTATACTATATAAATCGTGTCGTTCTGGGTCGTGAATCGTGAATTCATGCTCTGTAAATCATCGTACAAATAACGCGTACCAACGTTCGCCACTATCGTTCACATCTAGAGAAATAATAATTTTTTTCTCCCCTCTTGTTCATGTTGATTTGTAGTCGTATTATACATTATTAAAATATACAGTATAATAAAAAAGATTGCTATACATTGTCCCGTTCACGAAACACAAATACACCTGATATCATCTGCATACTGCAATTGATCGCCATCACTCGAAAATTTAGGGGGGAGGGAAATGTGCAAAACGTAAATATTAGATCGTCAAACAAATTTTAGTGATACAAATAAGAAAAAAAATCTAATACGAGTGATAGGTGTACCAATGTTTTTGGGGGCAAGTTGGAAGGTAGGATATATAGAATAATTTAATTTGTATTTGAAAACAGTGATAAATCATTGCTAACTAAAAATAATTCTATGCAGTTAATTATTAATCGTTTTTTTTTCTTATAGTTCAGAAAGCATACAAAATGTATACAACCAAATTGCCAGTTTTTCCCATTTATTAAGAAACGACAAAGGAAATTTCATCTACTTTATTATAAAAATGTCAATTTTAAGGTCTTGAAAATATTCTACAAAGATTGTATCCTTATTTGATCTAATCTATTTTACTTTATCACGTATTATTTTAATATAATAAAATATTGAATAGGCTATCAAAAATTACCTAGATTTCGATATTCAATACTGTCACACATCATTAATATAAAAGCTAATTTATTTTTGAATAATTTATTTATTTACGGTAGGGATGGTACAGTACGATATACTAGTATGGGATGGTAGCAGTATCATCAAATCTATAATTATTATTATTCTATTCCATATAATGTATTTTCAAATAAGTAAGAATCCTAATCACAAAAAACTAACACAGAATGTTTTGGCGTGAAATACAATTTTTAAATGTTTACTATTTAGAGCGTTATTACCATTTACCGTTGATTCAACCTAACCAATATATACGAAAACAAATTGGCTGCATAATCTACAATAAATGGTTGTAGTACCCATTAAAATCTTATTGTCAAACTAGTCAGTGGATAATCACAATCGCAACATTTTAATAGATATAACTCATAATTTAAGTTTAATAAAATAATTGTTTTATTTAAGGCAATTTTATATACGTATATAACACATGTACACATATACACATGTAAATAAAATTTTTTTGTTTTTATCAACAAACTATAATGTGGATTTTAATTTGATGTGGATGATAGAACATATTGTTCAAAATTATAGTTATATATTTATCTGTTTGTATATCTTGTTCTTATGGTATTTTTAATATTATTTGATTGTGTTTAAATAACAGCAAATGGTAATAACGGGTAAAATAATAATCATTTAAAAATTATGATTCACGCCACATAAGTTGCGCTAAAATGTTCTGGACTTCAGACAGCAACTGCTACCATCTTATTAGTAAAGAAAAATACTTGAAATAAATACTAACAATTCTTTCTAAACTTGAGACGAATTAACCATACAGCCAAAGTACCAGCAGTGCGGGTAAACATTAAAATAAATTATACATCCAATATTATAATAATTTAAATAATGCATACAGTTTTAGTTTAATACTAATGTCTCTTTTCTGGTGTAGAGTATTTTTAATTTGTTTACAATTCAAAATATATTTATAACGCACTTGAGTAATAGCGTTGTTAAAAGAAATTGTTTTTACGATTTTTCACAGTCACTTTTTAAAATAACTATGAAAGTTTCAAACATCATGTCAACCACTACTATTTGACTTTGTAAATGCTGAAACAAATTATGTTTTAATCGCATACATAGGACATATATTTTATGATTATGATTTATATAAGTTCATTCTGTTCAAAGAAGTGATATAATACGATATTATAAGGATTATACGACTGTAGTTGATTTATAATAATATTATATTTCTCTGTTGTTTCGTATCACCTATCAAAACTTTAAATGCCTGCATATAATTTAAAAACTAATGATTTGGCTCTGCGCAATACTTATTATGCGTGTATTATATAAACCTCAAAAACAAATATTTTGATCAGAACGTGAAATTCAACGTGTATATAGATTATGAAATAATAAAATATTAAAGATATCTACTAAATAATAAAATTTGTTTTTTGAACATACCTCCTAACTCATAAGGGTATTAAATGATCCAAAAATAAAAAAACTCATAAATTAAGAGACTACAAACAATTACGATAATAAACTTATATTTTAACTCTCAAATGTAAACCTAAGAGGATATTAGACTCGATCTAAAGTTTCAAATAACAAAAAATTCCTATCGTTTGAATAACCGGTCATGGTAATATTTATATAAGTAACGGAAAACTTATCAAAGGAATCGAAATCGACTTTATTCGATCGTCACCGTGACGAAAATAAGAATTTGTTTTAGGTTTACTTAACGAACCTTCTTGTTATCCTCTCTTCCCAGCCATGCAGACACCACTCGATTCATTCTATCGGAAAACAAAATAACGTGCTAAATATATAATTACGATATTGATCCGTATAATATAACATAACTAAAAATAGTAACCTGTTACGAGTATTCCAAATTGTATATTACAGTTTTAAAAGTATGTGTTCTATAATCTACAGTATACACTATAAAACAGGGGTCCCAACCCAGTCAATCGCATTAAACTGGTCAATCTTTCTATGAATACGAGTCGATCGTAAAAAAAATTAATTATGGCATTATCAGTCGATCACATTCGTAATATTTAATACGCACCGTCTTATTGTACTCTCCATTGAAACCTCAAAATTATCGTCAATATCATAATAAAAATTAATTACCCGTGTTTTGCTAATAATATTTTTTGATAAGTAAGCCCAGTGGTACCAAAACTCCTCAAATATTGTTATTTAAACATTAAATAGGCAATAAATACACACAAATGCACGATGTGAAGTCAAAAGGGCATTAAAACTAGGCAAACAAAAAATGTCGATTACTACAAACTTAAAATTTTGAATGTTGTTCTACTCTCAACACTATGAAAAAAAATAATTTTGAAAACCTTTCACATACACACACACACATTGACACATAAAATAGACACAATATAAATAACTACAAGTACCTACAAAATTATTAATAATATTATTCAAAATTAATTTACCGTAAGTATAAATTTATTAGTTTATTTTAAATGGAACAGTTAGTTTATAGCAGGTTTATAACGTGATATTCGAATGTATCCAAACGATTTATATATATATATATATATATATATAAGTTGAACCTTCAAAAAACAAAGAGCACCCCAACCTTTATTAGATGTTGTTCTCTCAGAATGGATTTTTTTTATTTTTTTTATTTTATTATTATTATTTCAATATCTTGAGTTTTCCGAATTTATAGTAAAATATCCATTGAAAAAAAATTATATACCACAGAATTTCTTGCGAAATTATCATACGTAAAAAGAGTTTACTCGCTTATCATTAGCGCATATCACTACTAATTTTTGTGTGGCACATAAATTTGTGTATACATTTTTCAGAAATGTCCATAACGAAATAGCGAGGGATCTATTTGTTTTACTATGATGTGTTTTTTTTTCTGTCTGTAAACAACTTTTCAAAAAGACATTTTGAGCATTAGACGGGTCATGATATGATTTTCCGAGGGGTTTTCGAAATAATCAAAAAGAAAATTAAAGGTACACCGGCAGACATATACGGCACGCCGCGGTATTGCGAAATCATTGTTTTTAATTTTTTTAACTTATATTTTCTACCAGAAATATTGTTCCAACCGAAAAAAGATTAAAGATCGATTTTGTTCTATTTAACATATAGCCACATAATAAACAATGCCGATTTTTGAAATCTTAAGTATTCTTCATAATAATCGGGAAAACCCAAAAAAGACAAAAAATACAATTTTTTTCAAATTACGGCACAATGATTTCATTATTTTAAACTTTTGCGACTTATATTTTCTTTCATAAATATTGAACCAACAAAAGTTCATTATAAAGCGTCTATAGTAGTAAAAAAAAGTTAGTTTAATATAGTTCTTTTTTTTATATAAGTTAATATCACAATTCAAAATTATTCGGTTTCATGGAACTTCGCTCAAAATCATTTTTTGTTAGCAATAATTTATCGTTTATCATTGGTTACAGTTATAAATTAAATAATTTAATGTATCCCACCTTCCCAAGCAATTAACTACAACACTTGCAACAGCTGTCTCAAGTATCAGCTATTTTTTTATTTATGAATTTTAATTTTATACCCTGTATATGAAACCCGTGGTTATATATTAGGTATATATTAAATTCATTATCGAAATATTATACTAATTTCCACGAACATTTTAAATAATTATCGATAATATTTAATAAATAATTTATTATACAGGTTTAAAGTTTTAAGAGTGGATTAACTTGCGATTAAAATGATCGTGTATGGAAATCATTTCTCCCGGCCGTGGCCCACCACGCGTATACCTACCTCATCAAATGTTTAAACAATTATTATTATTATTATTTATATGCGGCTGTATAATTTATTACTGCCAACCGTTTATTTATTCTGTATAATTGATTTCAAAATATAAAACGAAAATTGCAATATTTTAAAAAATCAAAAGCTAATAATAGTGTATGTATTTGTTAATATAATAAGCCGAACAATTAAAAAGAGCTGATACTGAAGACAGATGCGACCACAGTTGTAGGTGGAAATTATTAATCTATTATTAAATATTGTAAATTAGTTAACCTAACCAAATCAAACCTTTAATTCATTTCTATCTTTCAATCAAAAAAACCATATTTTGTTTAAATAATTTAAATACTTACCTACAATTTTTACTCAAAAATGAAATTTAAAATATGTATACATTGATAATGGTACCTAACTAAACCATAAAAATGATATACATATATATATAAGATAATATTTTTTTTTATTTATTTTCCTTTTTATAT